CAAACGAAAGAAATATTCAGAAAATTCATTTTTTTTTCCAATATTTATAATTACAGTTCATCGTCATTATGCGTTTATTTAAATTTTCTTGTTCACGGATATTTTTATATATTTATGAATAAAAATATTACTTTTCATATTTATTTCTTTATAAAATGGTAAATAAATATTTCATGATAGTTTGCTCACATATTTTATAATCTTTAAAAATATAAAATTATTCTTTAAAATAAGCAATCTAAAACATAAATAGGGCTTAAGGTCTTTGTTGTAAATTCTCATGTTTCGTTTGGATTCCATTAAGATTCTAATCACTGTATTTTAAAACAATAAACCTTGCCCCCCACACCCACCCACATCTACACATACACCCCCACACACACATTATGAGACCCGGGTAAGAATTTGACAGAAAGGAATTTTTTTTATCATTATTATTATTGATGTAAGAACGGGTAAAAGTTACAGAGCTCTAATTATCCACAATAAAAACTTTGTCTTCCCAATGAATAAAGAGACACACACAAATATTGAGTGTTTGGGGTCTCACCTAAAATTTAAAATTCAAAGAATATTTGGTTCAGAGAAGAAAAAGATGTTCTCAAACTATTTTGGTAAATTTATGTGGCAAAAACAAATGAAAAAAGGCCCGGAAAATGGATTTTTTCAAAATTTATAATTACAGTTCATCGTTACTATGCTTTTATTTATATTTTCTTGTTCACGGACATTTTTTTACACATTTATGAATAAAAATATTACTTTTCATATTTATTTCTTTATAAAATGGTAAATAATAAATATTTCATGATTGCTGATTTACATATATTTATAATCTTATAAATACAAAATTATTCTTGTAACTAAGCAATAAAATATATAAATAGTGTTTCTGTTAATCCACTTTCATGTTTGGGTTTTCTAATCATTGCTTTTTAAAAACAATAAACATTGCCAAGGGAGTCAAAAGTGTAAACAGTAATAGCAGTGTCAAGAGAATAACCGCCCTTTTGAGACATCCGTTTTTTTGGGGTTTTTTTTTTGTGTGTGTATGTCGCTCAAGGGTATTTTCACTTTAAGGAAAGTAACGAACCCGAGTGGAATTCGAACTCGATTATCCAATTTCATATTCCAAATCGTTACCCATCCAAAACTACAACACCTGCTATTCGCAACCGGTCACCCATCTAGGTACTGACCAAACCCGACATTGCTTAACTGGGCGAGAACCGCCGTATCAACCGTAATAAATCAGTAAGACTTTAAAATTCGGGAAACTAACGAATAAGACAGACATTTGAAAACGGCTGTAAATTATAACAGCCGAAAAATGTGATTATAACGACAAAGAAGAGGATAACTGTTCGAATAAGTAAATAAATAAATAATAATAATATATTCGTTTATGACTATCCAGAGATTCCCTTTCTTCTTTATTCGTGGATTGCTATCGCTTCTAAGGAAAGATAGCGGAGTAGTTCTCAGTTGTTTATTTCTTTATAAAATGGTAAATAATAAATATTTCTTCACATAATTTTATAATCTTGTAAATATAAAATTATTCTTTTAAATAAGCAATCTAAAACATAAATAGGGTTTAAGACCTTTGTTTTAAATTCTCATATATTTCCTTTGGGTTTCATTAAAATTCTAATCACCGTATTTTAAAATTACGTTCAAAATATTTAGATTTCAGCATTAAATCACCCATAGAAGTGTTGATATGCCGCTGAACAAAATCAACCAACCAACAATACATATTTAAGGCAAAATGACCAACAATACAATTTTATCAGTAGTTGAAGGCAGACAATTGCGTTCAAAATATATTTAGTTGAAGCCATAAAATTATGTTCAAAATATTTAGATTTCGGCATTAAATAACCCATAGAGGTGTTGATATGCCGCTAAACAAAATCAACCAACCAACTTATAAAAAATTACAAAATTATCGACATATGTAAACTAACTAGAATGCCATATTTATTATTTACCATTTTATAAATAACTATGAAATCAAGTTTGTTTGTTTTTAAGGTAAAAACTGGTAAAAGAGCTGTAATTATACACAATGAAAACTTTGTCTTCCCAATGAATAAGGAGACACACTCTCAAAATATTGAGTGTTTGTGGTCTTGCCTAAAATTTAAAATTCAAAGATTGTTTGGCTCAGAGAAAAAAAAAAAACTCCACCGCCTTAACCAGGTATTGAACTCACACTCTTTGGGACCTGTCACTGGATCTTAACTAACGCCTTTATCCAGTGTGTGGTGGAGAACTTTCAGAGGGCAATTAACAAGAGATAACTGATAACTGACATCCATTAGACATGGCACGTGGAACTAGAACAGTCTACCCCAATGAGCGAAATAAAGGGTTCAGTTCGACATTCCAGCCACCTGAAGAAGGCCGGAATATACAACGGTCGAAACGTTGTAATAAATATGGCGACAAAGATGAGGACAATAGTCCGAATAATGTAAATAGTGTAGATATGATTAAGACTTGTATTCCTAAACCATTATTATCTAAAAAAAAAAAAAAGAAGAAATTCTTGTAATATAATAGTGTTTTCTGGCTTCAAATAACTTCAAAAGGTTGATAAACTGTAAAAAACGAATCATTCAATCTCGATGGTTTAAAGAACAATTGCTGAGTTTTAGAATTAAAACCATTATAAAGAAATCAATGAAATTCAAATACGAGACATTGACCAGAGGATAATTTTTTTTATTATTCATCCCAGAATCGGAAATCAATTTTCGGAGTATTTTCCTTGTTGACCAGCGGATTCCTGAAAAAAAAAAAAGAAATAATTAATTTTCGGGGGTTGCTTTTGTTGTCACTACACAATTTCAGCCGATCCATTCTACAGCCTTTTTCTGCTCTATAAACTAAATGTTAGCAGCGGTGAAAATTACGCAGTTTTCGTAACTGAATCTAATAATTAAAAAAGTTCCTTGTGATTTGCCCAACTCCAAAATACCCACTGAAATACCTTTATTATATCACTAAATGTTTCACGAAAACAAATATTAACAAAATATTGCAATAACAATTTTAAGTATGAATACAGGTCATTATTTAAAGAAGTAAGAGGGTACAAATGAAAAGATAAAAAAAAAAATGACTGGGATTTTCCGTTTCATTGACGCAGACGTTAAAAGCAAGAGAGTGTTATCACTTCTTTCTTTCTGTATTTATTTATTATTATGTATGCTTTCTTTATCTCTGTAAAATCAGTGTCTCACAGATATTTTTATTCTGTCTTACGTCGCAATCAAAATGGAATGGCCCATTTTATATCTGAGGCAATGGCAGGACGTAACGCACGTGCTAACAAGCCGAATTTTAATATTATAAGAAAGACCCGTGAAAAATTCAGTTTTCCTATTTGAATTTTCTCGTGAATCTTAATTCTTCAGTTAATGATTGAATAAGCTCATGGTGAATTCTACGACAATAAAATATCCGTAGAAATTCCCTTATCGCATCGTGAAATATTTGAGATTAACAACCTTAACAAAACTAGAAAGACCCGTGATAATTTCACGGTTGTCCTATATGAATTTACTCATGAATCTTAATTCTTCAGTTAATGATTGAATAAGCTCATGGCGAGTTCTACGGCAATAAAATATCCGTAGAAATTCCCCCATCGCATCGTTAAATATTTGAGCTTAACAACTTTAACAAAATATTGCAATAACAATCATAAATATGAACGCTGGTCGTTATTTTAAGAAGTAAGGGGGTGTAAATGAAAATATTTGAAATTGACCCAAACAAGGACGAAATGCCAAATGAAAGATCGGAGGTGTTATCCAAATGTAGACACCTTAGTAAATATTTATTGTGTATGTACGAACATTTTCTCCACTCCGTCTTTCCCCACTAACTTCGTATATAATAGCGGTGGAATCATCTAAAATCTTTCATGCTACCTGCCTGAGGATAACTAACGGTCGAAACCTAGGTAGCGTGGTAGCTTGAGTTTTGATGTTCCTGATTTGATATATATGATTATATATATATATATATATATATATATATATATATATATATACACACACATACATATATATATATATATATATATATATGTATATATATATATATATATATATATATATATATATATATATATATATATATATATATATATATGTATGTGTGGGTAGATATATATATATATATATACACATATATATATATATGTACACATACATACAAATATATATATGTATACACACACACATATATATATATATGGCCTAACGATTGCATATAACATGAAACAGACTGTCGCCTCTAAGTGTTGACTTCTATACGTTTTTGGTCCTAATGTGGATTTTTTTCAAAATATATATTATGCTTTATTTGCCATAATTTTGCAACACGTGTTTCAGGTCTCATGACCCTCTTCAGGAAAAGAGTGGATATTTCCACATATTATTAAAATGAATTAATTTTCCTTATGTTTTTCGATGTTAAACATTCTTGATGTGAAACCTTCTCTTTTTTGTGTGTGGTAGTGACACAAGTATGTGTGTGAGGTCGAAAGAAAGTTTCTATTAAGGATTTTTGTTTATTTATTTCTATATTTCAGACCATATTCTTCGTTTCCGGCGAAAGTTGATGGTATAGAAAAAATGCAGTAATATGCAGTTAAGTGTGCTGCAAATACTATACTAAACATCAGGGTAGACAGGCTTCTTTGTCCTTGAATGACAGCTTGTCAAGAAGTATGAATACTCTGAATTTATAACCGTAAAGAAGGCAACGGGAAATTACATTACTTTCTCAAGGAGTTATTGCAATTCGAAGATAATAAAAAAAAAATGGAGAGCTCTGATGTCCTGGAGGGAGATTGTATTAAAAGCAATTGCCTCTTAAAGTAGTTTTTGTTACAGATTATGTTTTCAAGAGTTTAGGCTTCAAATAAAACTGTTTTTAACTTACAAAAACATGTCAAATATTAAAAATGCTTGTTTGGGAACTTTTCCAAGATGTGAGTTATCTAAAAGTATTCGTGCATGGCTGGTTTTCCGGATTTCGTTAAGTTGTGCTGGAACGAGACAAAAATGAATGTAAATACAGAGTTCTTTTCAAACCTATCACCCCATGCAAAACAGTAAAGCCACTAAGACACAAAGGGTTACTGAGTTTGAAAGAATAAGAAAAAAGAGAAACATTATTAAGGCGAGAGAACAATAGAAGAGTAATCAAGAAGACGTTAGATAACGATTGACATTGAATTTAAATTTGTTTTCTAATCATTTCACCCCAAGCAAGGCAGTAAAGCCACTAAGACACAAGGGGTTACTGAGTTTGAAAGAATAAGAAAAAAGAGAAACATTATTAAGGAGCGAGAACAATAGAAGAATAATTAAGTGGGTTTTAAACTTTTTTTAAAAAGTGACAATAAATTATCACATTTATCAAAATCTGCTTTTTTATTTAGCATGTTAAAATTTAATTATGGCCGTCATAACTGTCTCTTTAGAAGCAAAATGATTATCTCTATTCCCTAAAAACTCGGTATTACGAAACATCGTCCATTAATAAAACTTATCTTGAACGGCCACCCTTCTAGATCTTTTTACATTAATACAGGTATCCTCTTTTCCTTGGATCTAAGTTCTTCCTAATTTTAATCAACGACCTTACTAATGTCATTAGTTCTCAACTCGGTATCAATATAGAAGACGCAACTATTTGCACTTGTCTTAATGGTGAGTCTGAGAGGTTCGATAAGGTCAAATTGACTGCTGAGCCCCCAAATGACCTACAGTCTGTTGTTAACTGGGGCAAGGAATGGCGTGTTAATTTTAGCGCCTCCAAAATAAAAATACTCTCTGATAGAACCCTTTTTTGATTTCCATCACCATGGTTGATGCTAACCTCGAGAAGAGTGACCCATGGCGTCTTCTCGAGCTAACGTTTTCGGCTGACATAAGAAATGATAAGATTATATTGAATCAATTGCTAGACCCACTGCTAGGAAAGTTGGTTCACTGAGTCGTGCTAGAGAATTTTTCTCGACGAAATCTATTTTACATATCTATAACTAGCAGTATAACCTGTCTTTGACCGGGTCCTTCATTACTGGGAATTTTTACCGTTCAGTTGGAGCAGTTTAAGTTTAAAGTCTGCCCAGCTTAAATCAATATTACTAACATTTGGGTGCAACTGAGGCACATCACCAAATGGGGGGGGTAACAATTTGAATGGTGGGGGCCTAAAAAGGGAAGTGTATAATAATAAATAATATTATTGTAATAATTTAAACTATTTGTTTTATTAAAGCTTTTATGAAAGATATATATCCAAGAACACATAGCAAATAGTAAAACATTGCTGAGAGTTATAATGGACAGAAAGTACTGGAGAGCTATTGTCACCAACAATTTGAACTCAAAACCGGCACTGACGAATTACTGTACTGTACTACTGATGCGGCATTCACCCTGGGCGGATTGGGCCGGCTTCTTCCTGTTATGAGAAGAAAATTCTTGGGATAGATTACAGAAGTAGGGTACCCAGGCCTACTTGGATAACGTTCTTGCTTGCCGCGGGGTTCCCACAGACGCAGAGACAGGAACGACCAGAAGCCGCCGGTTACCGATGCAGACGCTCCTTGGATTTTCACCAGAGCCCTTGTTAGCCGGCGTGTGTGTCAGACCTGTCCGCCTTGGGTGGCCCTACCAGGAACGAAGTTCCGGGCGGCATAGCTCTGACACTACCGTTTACACCCCCCGACCGACTGTGAGGTAAGCGTTCGACCTCGAAGTCCACTGACGAATTATCTATCAAACAAAAAAATTTCATCGAAATCAGATGAAAATTGTAGAAATGCATAAACAACATCCGATCACACACACACACACACATACACACATTTTGAGAATTATAGATATAGATTCTACCATTTAAACCTATACTTTGAATGTTGCTGACATATCTGGTCTGGTGCTTCTGCTATGTATCTAGAGATTCTTGATAAAATATTGTTTAGCAGAGCAAGTAACCTTAGCAGCGAGTTGAAAAAAGAGGACATTGTTTATCCAGGGAAAGAAGTCCCACCAGTGGGGGAAAACGACACGGGCCATGTTGTTGTCACAGCTTATTTTATCGGTATGGGAATGTCTTTGGAAAGTGTCTGAAATTTCGCCCACATGGTTTAACTAAAATCTTGTGGGTGAAATTGGGTAAACAGAATTCTTCGTCGATATTTGTTCTGGCACGAAATCACAAGTCATCGTGACCGAGAGTTTGAGTGTACTGTCCTTGAAGATTTATTTCCCAGAAACTGGGGACTAGAGCCGCTCAGCAAAGTTGCAATGTAAACCACAGATATTGAACAAAGACAAATGTGCTTTAGAAGGCGTCTGTAACAGGGATTGGTTAGCTACTCTAGTTGATATGTATACTCAGATAGGATTAGCCAATATATATATATATATATATTATGAAATGGACAAAGTCCGACAATTATTTTAAGACATTTTTATGTCTATACATTCTTTTTATAGATACAAATATTTAAGTAAAGGCTCTGTTTTATAATAAACAGTATTATTAATAGCATTTACCGGCCTGAATGTCCGAGGAATTTTCATAGAAAAACATAATGTGCGACGTCATTTGTTTACATTTGGATACGCTTTGAGCAGATATGAATGTACGTGGCTCGATTGGTTAAGACATGTCAGGCTAAATGACGGTTCCGTATAGGATACAGGTTCGATTCCTGTCGGAGAACGAATATTTTCTATGAAAATTTCTCGAACATTCAGACCGGTAAATGTTATTAATACTGTTTATTATAAAACAGAACATTTACTTAAATATTTGTATCTTTAAAAAGGATGTATAAATATAAAAATGTCTTAAAAATAATTATCGGACTTTGTCCATTTCATAATGTGTGACGTCATTTCTTTACATTTGGATACGCTTTGAGCAGATATGAATGTACGTGAGAGATTCATGAAAGATTGAAATTTAAAAACGAACGATTCTCCGTGTCTCGATCGGTTAAGGCACGTCAGGCTAAATGACAGTTCCATACAGGTTCGATTCTTGTCGGAGGACGAATATTTTCTATGAAAATTTCTCGGACATTCAGGCCGGTAAATGTTGTTTAATACTGTTTATTATAAACAGAACATTTACTTAAATATTTGTATCTATAAAAAGAATGTCTAAACATAAAAATGCCTTATTATATTTAAATGAAATGGATAAAGTCCAACAATTATTTTCTGTTTATACGTTATTTTTAGTAGATACAATTTATCAAGACTTACACCACTTCCTGTCTCCTTTGTTATACATTCTTAATATTAGTTTCTAAGGATACAGGGACATTCAATCATTTTGACAACGCGTGGTAGGGTATTGGTTACCACCCCTTGTCAAAATGATTGAATTTTCCCTTATCCTTAGAAACTAATATTAAGAATGTATGTGCTTATAAAACTCAATAAATTTCAAAATAAGTTATTCGAAAATCCGCTTGAAAATGAAACGGAACTAGCGATTTTAACTTAATTCTATAAATAAATCTGAAGTTTTTGGTTTCTGTTTTTAGCGATGGAACCATATTTTAAAATTAATAAATTTATAATATTTATGGTCTGCAGAATTGTACTGAGCACAGTTTTTTAAAAATAAAAATGATTAGTAAGAACACTGGATTATAAATCTTACTGTTCTTTCTCTTTTATTTATTTATATATATATATATATATATATATATATATATATATATGATTAATATTAATATAAAATTTCTTATGATGTTATATATTCAGCACCTCCACTCCAGAGTTTCGTAGACGAGGTTCACTCGTCAGGGAATGTCAGTAAATTTTCTCGTTTTCGTTATTTTTACATTAAGTTAAAAAAGAAAAATATGTGCGTTTTATTATTGGTGTTAGGTGTATGTATATGAGTGCGTGTTTATGCGGGTGTGCGCGATCGTATGTATGCGTTTGCGTATACAGCCGTACGCATGCGCATTTGTAGGATGTCTTGGTTTGGTTTGATTTGTTTTACGGCATATCAACCGCAATGGGTTATTTAATGCCAACAAAATTTTTATTGCTAGTGTTATAAAATAAAATAAGACATATCTCGGCTGATTTACAGGCAAATACTCAAGAGCGAGAACCGGGTGTGAACGGGACAAAGCCCCGTCACAAAATGACCATTATCTTCGTTTACAAATGTTCCCGACACACAAGTTCCGGTCGAAAAATAAAATAATATTTAAAGTGTTCTATTTTTCGTCCAATAAGAATGCTTCCCTCCTAATTATACTCGCTTCGTTTTTCAAGCCTGTTAAGCCATAAAAAAACGCTATAAAAGGGGTCACACGGAAGTTCAACGGGCAGTCAACAGGTGGCCAGGCCGAGCGGTTAGCAGCTGACAGCAGGAGAGCATCAACTACCGTCAACATGTGTGAACTACTACGAGAGATCAACCTAGATCCGAAGCCGGCTTATGAACTGTACCACAAGGTAGCTATGCCAAACCCACACGTTCCTGTTGAAATAAACCACGTAAATCTATTTCTGCTGTTGTATTTCTTTCTTGCAACCATACGCTTGTCTATAACACTGGTAATATTCTTTTTTCAAACATGTTTGCTAGTAATATTTTTCCTTCAAAAAATCTATTTTTCTGATAATATTTAAAAAAAAAACTATTGCTGGTAAAAAATGTTTTGGCTAAAATATATTACTGATGTTAATGTATTGCTTGTAATTTTTTTTTACAAAGTATTTCTGATATTAAAAGCCATTTTTACATTTTCATAGTAATTTTGACCCCAGTTTGGGGGGTTAACTATTTGCCCATAGTTGGGACCCTAACAGGTGCTACCACCCCGGGGCAGGGTGGACCTGGGAACACCAGCAATTAAGAGGTGGTTTCATGCTCCTCAAAACCTCCTGATGAGAGGCCTTGCTGTGGAACGTAGTTTATCGTCTTACCTAGGACGCGGGTGTAGTTTATCGTCATACCCAGAACAGGTAGGATGTTGTGGTTATCACAAACTAAAATACTATAATTACAAAAGAGGGCTATTATATATGATTTATTTTTTACGGGTTATCAACATTTTAAAGTTAGCTAAAGAAAAAAAAATTGTTTAGATTGTAAACATTTTTTCGTGATAATCATAATTTACTGATACAAGTCCTACTATTTAACCCATAGCTGTGGGGAGAAGAAGTGGATTCATAGCTTTTTTGTTTATTTTTCCTAAATATTCATTAATATTCGTAGTTTTTGCTGAATATCTATAAACAAGAAAGCGAAATAATTTCTGTCTTACTTTCTTGGATGACATTAATTACATTATCTGTGTTGATATTATCCTAACGGACTTCATCAGAAGCTTGTTGATCCAGGTAACTGACAGGGAATGTCGAAATTAACCTTTTATTCAAGAGCAGACTGTTCTCATTCCGCTGACCATGTTAATGGATATCTCATTTCGTTTTTATCGCTCGCCCTGTCTGCACGCCCTGGCCCAGGAATCGAACACGCAATTTCTAAGTCACCAAATTCCTATACCAGCGCTTTAAACAACTAGGCCAATCCTGAGTGTAGGACTTGGAGTTTTAAAACTAATCCACCCGCCTCCCGAGACTGCATGTTTTGTTTGGCTGCATTCACTAAAGCTTTTCTTACTTCTGCTGCTGCTGTTGTTGTTGAAGCTTTGCTGTCATTCTCATTCTCTGTTTATTAACGGCTGCCATATGGTATTTATTTCTATGCTAGGCCCTACCAAAGAGGGTATCATAAACTAACATATTCGTTGATTTTTCAAATATCTGACTCTTCAATGATTTTAATTTCTCATGGATTTGTGACGACCCTTTTCCTTCAATACATCTGCATTTCCTGATTTCATTGTCTCGCCCCAAATTTCGATGTTCGTCGAGACTTAGTTAATTTTTTTCATATTTTATAAATACAAAGTAATTGAAAATTTACTTTAATTCTTTGTCTGTTCATCCTTTAATAAATCATGAAATTTTCATATAAACGAATTTTATGGACAATGAAATTTTTACATCATGGGAGTAGGTCCCCTGTGAATATGCGGTATTATGGTATATGTAGGATTGAGCGGGGTGGATGAGTCCTTGTGGTGAATGGACAAATTGTAATGAATGAGTTACCTTGCAATAGTTATAAATCTGAAAACAATTGTATGAACGTTTGGATAGTACACACGTAAATGGTCTTGAAGTGTTAAATAAATATATGTTTATATAAAAATTACTTTTAAAAAGAATAAAAACTTATAATTCCAACGGATAATTTATTGTTAAAAACAGATATATTTCGGAAAGCTTTTTGCAATCCTTGATCACTCTTGAGAAATAAATGAAACACTGACTAAGCTACATTGTATATGTTATAAATTCAAATTAACGGGAAAAAAATTCGATCGAATTGAGTTCACGAGATATGCGTAAGCTGAAAGCGTGAGAATTGTTTAAAGAAAGAAATGTCATTTCCAAACCAATGGAATGAAATTTTTACATTTTCGGATATTCTGTAGGTCCCCTGCGAATATGCGGTATTATGGTATATGCAAGATTGAGTGGTAATGGATGAGTCCTTGTGGTGAAAGGGCAAATTGTAATGAGCGGGTCGTGATTCTGATTAACTAGGACTAGGATGGCTAATGAAGACCAGCCTCTCTCCATTTCCTCTTCAGCCTTGGGCCACAATTTTGTATTTTTTACAAAATAAATAATCCAAACCAGAGTAGAAAAAATACTCCTAATTTTTTCGTATTTTCCGTTGAAGTAAGGAAGTCCATGCTAGATGAAGCTGTACTGCATCAATTCTATGGCAGACATTTTCGGTACTTGCTATTATCATTTGTTCAGCTACTTGTCTTTGGTTGAATTTGTGTTGGTTGGTCAATTTTATTTCACGTTGGTCGAAGTCTATTTATAAATTTATTTCTCAAGAGTGATCAAGGATTGCAAAAGCTTTCCGAAATATATCTGCTTTAACAATAAATTATCCGTTGGAATTACAAGTTTTTATTCTTTTTAATTCAACCTCACCAATGGAATCAAGCGTTTTTACAAAAATTATTTTATCTAACAATGGGAAAGAGCAGACGATCGCTGTTGTCAAAACAATGGAAAAATTAATTTAAAATTCCGCCATCTTTTGTTAGCGCAGGTAAATTATTTTAGTAAAGAATTTAATTATGGATCAAAGTTAAAGAATGATTGTTACCCAAAGAAAATCCTTCTTCTCCATAATTTTCATACCAGAATCGATCTCCGTCCTTCAAGAATTTAAATTGTAATGCGATGACGCATTTGAAAAGTGGACCAACGATTCCTTGTCCAGGGATGGCAGATTCTGTTAATCCCCCTAGGAGGAAGTCAATATCATCTGGAGAGCTGAAATTTTAGAATATGTTATATAGAAATAAGTGTACTACTAAAATAGAGTGGTCCTCTTGTAAAAAAGGAAAGAAAAAAAAAAAAACAAGGAAAAATGTTTGCGAAAAAATTTTGTTGATTAGCATTCATTTTTTAATCATTTTTAAAAGGGTGTCCTGTTCATAATATCGATACAATATAAAATCGATCCCTGACTTTTTACAGAGTTATCTGGACTTAGTTGTTTTGCGTCCCAAAAACAAAGTTTTTTTTTATATTTACAAAAAGATTTCATTTAAATAAAGAACAAACGTCTTTTAACTAAAGAACATAAATTGATAGAGGTATATATGTCAGCTTCATTTACGACAAATAATTATTATCACCAATGTCTGTGTTTGGGCTTCCGAAACTGCCATAAAAAAAATTTAAATTTAAAAAAAATGTTTTTAAAATTCAGAAAATTATAAAGAAGGAAACAATGCAGTATTGTTTTAAATTTTATATTTGTAAATAACAACTAGGTTCAATAACTCCATTTGAAACAGTATTTATTTTAATTATTTCACCCCAAGCAAGGCGATAATGACACAAGTGGCTATTGGGAGCGAAGGAAAATAAGAAGACTTCCAAAGGAACCGGAAACACAATCCTAAACACAAACAAGAAATAAACCGCTACTCATATGCAAAAGACAGCGGAGGAGTGTGAACCGGGCGATAGACGAACCTATCTATTCTATTGGGAAAAAAGTAAATAAAATTTTGGAGTTTAGACGTTGGAAGTGTAGAACTAAACTAAGAGCATGTGTGGTTCAAGGACATGTATTCAGTTAGGGACAGTTAACTATTTATATAATAAATGTGAATGCCAGTATGTCACTGTGTCACATTTTATCGATTAAAGGGATACAACGCTCTAACTTTCAATAGCTCATGTTACAAAAATTTTGGATTTCCAACTTTTCACCCCTGATTTTGCATATTATTTTTTATAAAAAATGCGTATTATACATGGGAAATTGCGGTAATTAGTGTAAAGAGTTACAGGTAAATACCCTTGGGAAAGATATGAACCCGCCTCTTCTCCCCCAGCAATGAGTTAATTAGCAAGATTTATTAATAGTAAATCATTATCTCCCCCACAACAGAAATACAGACAGATCTTTTCTGACATTATTTACATTATTTGGACTGTTATCCTTATCTTCATTGCCATATTCACAACGTTTCGCCGTTGTACGCTCTGGCCTTCTTCAGGTGATTGTAATTTCGAATCGAACCGTTTATTTCGTCCACCGGGATAGATTGCTCTGGTTCCGCGTGCCATACCTCTTCCAGATGTCTCAGTTATTTCCCTTTAACTCAACTCTCCAAGATTTTTGGTTCACCACTTCTGTAGACTGAACTCACAGCTCTTTGAGTCTAGTCACTGGATCTAACCAGCATCTTTATCCACTTTTCTTTAATTCAAATATATGAAATCTAACTTAGAAATGGAGAATTTCTTTTCTTAATAAACTCCGCTCAAAACTAAAATAATTGATTAATCGATTCGTTTTCTACGGCTTATCAACAAACAAGAAATTATAATGTGGATATAAAGTGGGGGGAGCAATTATTATATTATCAATATATAAACTGATCCCTCACATTATCGCCAGTATCCTTGCTATACATTTCTATTCCAGAGAATGTAAACAAATCTAAAAGACATGCCTGTGTAGCTAATCAGTATTTCATTGATTGATTGATTCGTTTTCTACGGCTTATCAATAAGCAAGAAATTATAATGTGAATATAAAGTGGGGGATCAATTCTATATTAAAATCAATATATAAACTGATCCCTCACTTTGTGGCCACGGTTGCTCCTATACATTTCTATTTCAGAGAATGTAAATAAATCTAAAAGACATGCCTGTGTAGCTAATCAGTATTTCATTGATTGATTGATTCGTTTTCTGGCTTATCAATAAACAAGAAATTATAATGTGAATATAAAGTGGGGGATCAATTCTATATTACAATCAATATATAAACTGATCCCTCACTTTGTGTTTACGGTAGTTCCTATACATTTCTATTCCAGAGAATGTAAATCAATCTAAAAGACATGCCTGTGTAGCTAATCAGTATTTCATTGATTGATTGATTCGTTTTCTACGGCTTATCAATAAACAAGAAATTATAATGTGAATATAAAGTGGGGGATCAATTCTATATTACAATCAATATATAAACTGATCCCTCACTTTGTGTTTACGGTAGTTCCTATACATTTCTATTCCAGAGAATGTAAATCAATCTAAAAGACATGCCTGTGTAGCTAATCAGTATTTCATTGATTGATTGATTCGTTTTCTACGGCTTATCAATAAACAAGAAATTATAATGTGACCATAAAGTGGGGGATCAATTCTATATTAAAATCAATATATAAACTGATCCCTCACTTTGTGGCCACGGTTGCTTCTATACATTTCTATTTCAGAGAATGTAAATAAATCTAAAAGACATGCCTGTGTAGCTAATCAGTATTTCATTGATTGATTGATTCGTTTTCTACGGCTTATCAATAAACAAGAAATTATAATGTAAATATAAAGTGGGGGATAAATTCAATATTACAATCAATATATAAACTGATCCCTCACTTTGTGGTTACGGTAGTTCCTATACATTTCTATTCCAGAGAATGTAAATAAATCTAAAAGACATGCCTGTGTAGCTAATCAGTATTTCATTGATTGATTGATTCGTTTTCTACGGCTTATCAATAAACAAGAAATTATAATGTGAATATAAAGTGGGGGATCAATTCTATATTAAAATCAATATAAACTGATCCCTCACTTTGTGGCCACGGTTGCTCCTATACATTTCTATTCCAGAGAATGTAAATAAATCTAAAAGACATGCCTGTGTAGCTAATCAGTATTTCATTGATTGATTGATTCGTTTTCTACGGCTTATCAATAAACAAGAAATTATAATGTGAATATAAAGTGGGGGATCAATTCTATATTACAATCAATATATAAACTGATCCCTCACTTTGTGTTTACGGTAGTTCCTATACATTTCTATTCCAGAGAATGTAAATCAATCTAAAAGACATGGTCTGTGTAGCTAATCAGTATTTCATTGATTGATTGATTCGTTTTCTACGGCTTATCAATAAACAAGAAATTATAATGTGAATATAAAGTGGGGGATCAATTCTATATTACAATCAATATATAAACTGATCCCTCACTTTGTGTTTACGGTAGTTCCTATACATTTCTATTCCAGAGAATGTAAATCAATCTAAAAGACATGCCTGTGTAAGGAATCAGTATTTCATTGATTGATTGATTCGTTTTTCTACGGCTTATCAATAAACAAGAAATTATAATGTGAATATAAAAAATGAGGATCAATTCTATATTAAAATCAATATATAAACTGATCCCTCACTTTGCGTCCACAATTAACTCCTATACATTTCTATTTCAGAGAATGTAAATAAATCTAAAAAAGACATGCCTGTGTAGCTAATCAGTATTTCATTGATTGATTGATTCGTTTTCTACGGCTTATCAATAAACAAGAAATTATAATGTGAATATAAAGTGGGGATCAATTCTATATTACAATCAATATATAAACTGATCCCTCACTTTGTGGTTACGGTAGTTCCTATACATTTCTATTCAGAATGTAAATCAATCTAAAAGACATGCCTGTGTAGCTAATCAGTATTTCATTGATTGATTGATTCGTTTTCTACGGCTTATCAATAAACAAGAAATTATAATGTGAATATAAAGTGGGGATCAATTCTATATTTAAATCAATATATAAACTGATCCCTCACTTTGGCCAAACGGTTGCTTCTATACATTTCTATTTCAGAGAATGTAAATAAATCTAAAAAGACATGCCTGTGTAGCTAATCAGTATTTCATTGATTGATTGATTCGTTTTCTACGGCTTATCAATAAACAAGAAATTATAATGTGAATATAAAGTGGGGGATCAATTCTATATTAAAATCAATATAAACTGATCTCTCACTTTGTGGCCACGGTTGCTCCTATACATTTCTATTCCAGAGAATGTAAATCAATCTAAAAGACATGCCTGTGTAGCTAATCAGTATTTCATTGATTGATTGATTGATTCGTTTTCTACGGCTTATCAATAAACAAGAAATTATAATGTGAATATAAAGTGGGGATCAATTCTATATTACAGTCAATATATAAACTGATCCCCCAATTTGAGGCTCCATTTGCTCCTATACATTTCTATTCCAGAGAATGTAAATAAATCTAAAAGACATGCCTGTGTAGCTAATCAGTATTTCATTGATTGATTGATTCGTTTTCTACGGCTTATCAATAAACAAGAAATTATAATGTGAATATAAAGTGGGGGATCAATTCTATATTACAATCAATATATAAACTGATCCCTCACTTTGAGGCCACGGTTGCTTCTATACATTTCTATTCCAGAGAATGTAAATAAATCTAAAAGACATGCCTGTGTAGCTAATCAGTATTTCATTGATTGATTGATTCGTTTTCTACAGCTTATCAACAAATAAGAAATTATAATGTAGATATAAAATGGAGGATCAATTCTATATTACAATCAATATTTAAAATGATCCCTTACTTTGTGGCCACGGTAGTTTCTATACATTTATGTTCCAGAGACTGTAAATGATTTAGCTGATTGATTGATTCATTTTCTACGGCTTATCAACCCTTTGCAGGTTATTTAAAGCCAGAAAATATTTTTAGATTGTAAGATTTTTTTAAGTTGGGGGATAATAATAATTTACTGATACAAGTCTTACTAATTAACCCATAGCTGGGGAGAAGAGCTGAGTTCATACCTTTCCCAAGGTTATTTGCGTGTAAGTGAATATAACGAACCCAACTGGAATTGGAACTCGGCTATCCAATTAACAATTTCGAGCCATTATCCATTACATCATCGACGCTTACGACACCTGGTATTCCCAAGCGGTCACCCATCTAGATCAGGCTTTACGTTGCTTAACTTAAGTAGAAGATTAAAATTAACAACGATAACCGATTAATTAAGATGGAGAGCAAACAAAGTATCAGTTCCTTCCATCTATTAACAAGCTTACTATCAGGTCATCCCATAAGTTCTGTACGAATTTTGAATAAAGAAAACAAGTGACCAAATGTTGCATTTAATTACAGATTCAATTAACAATGTATTTCCCTGATTATCTATGACTTCCTTCCATCTATTAACAAGCTTACTATCAGGTCATCCCATAAGTTCTGTCCGAATTTTGAATAAAGAAAACAAGTGACCAAATGTTACATTTAATTACAGATTCAATCAACAATGTATTTTCCCTGATTATCTATGACTTCCTTCCATCTATTAACAAGCTTACTAATTCCATTACTGTAAAATTCTTTTGGCTTTGATTCGAAGAACTCACAAATGTCAGTTTTATCCTCTTCCTGTGTTACAAAAGCTGTTTCTTCCAAATGATTCTGTAAGCTACGAAACAAATGGTAGTCTGAAGGAGCAAGATCGGGAGAATAAGGTGGATGAGGAATTTTCTCCCAACCAAGTTCTTCGATCTTTTGTGACGTGATTCTTGCAGTGTGGGGTCGCGTATTGTCCTGATGAAACATCACCTCTTTTCGATTCACTAGAGCAGGTCTTTTTTTCCCACAAAGCTTGGTTCAAACGCTTTAATTGCTGACAGTATATTTGAGCATTAATTGTAAGAATTCAAAGTGGATTATTCCTTGGCGGTCCCATCAGATTGAAAGAAGAAACTTTTGCCTATGAAGTTCCCTTCTCGGCTGTGGCTGGGGTCCTTCCACTTTACCAAGCCACTGTCTACGACGCTTAACATTTCGGTAAAAGATCCATTTTTCGACGCCAGTCACAAGTCTATCCAAAAAAGGTGAAACAAGTTGGTGAGAATGGAGAGAAGAGCAGATATAAACTCGGGATTTGAAGTTGTTTTCAGACAATTCATGAGGTACCCATTTTTCAAGTTTAGGAACTTTTCCAAGTTGTTGAAGATGGCGATGAACAATTGTATGGTTTGAACTGAGAACCACTGCCAATTCCTCAACTGATAAAGCAGGATTTTCTTCAAGGGCTGCTTCAAGAAGCTTTTCATCAAACTCAACAGGACGTCCGGTTCGATCTTCATCTTCAAGGGTGAAATCTCCACCTCTGAATTTTGCAAACCATCTTCTGCAAGTTCTTTCATTCACACATTCCTCTCCATAAACTGAGTGAATGTTTCTAGTCGCTTCGGCTGCTGAGTTTCCTTTCTTGAACTCATAAAGCATTATGGTGCCTCAAATGATTCTTGGGTACTTCTATGTTAGCAGGGTTTAATCAAACAAAATTTAATTTTATTGTTCTCTGAAATAAAATTTGCTCGGTTTAAATGCATCTAAACATAAAAATAATGTTCAGCTCCATTAGACATTATAAAATACTCTTTAAATTTCGTTCATTTTAAAAGTTAAAATTCGGACAGAACTTATGGGATGACCTGATAAGAGGATCTACAGGAGGCTTCTGTTCATTTTTTTTCTCCTCTAAATTGATAAAAAATTAATATTTTTCCATTCTGATAAATATCATGGATTTGGTAATGTCTAATACAGGGATTCAAATTTTTTCTTGCGTCATCATTAACATTGAAAAATTTTCCGACATCCACCTATATAGTAAACTAGCTTAGAAGCTGCACTCCTTGCGGGTTTTTAACCTAGCTCTTCCAGAGGGTTAATTGGGCCTCCGTCCCAAAACTAAAAGGACCTCTGGTCCAGTTTAGAAATCAGCAATAATAATTTTAAAGAAATAACTTTGAATTCCTTAATTCATTCCATGGAACTTCAAAACCTCACTCTGATTCGGGCTTTCAGTCAAAATTCCGAGCAAAAGACTGATTTAAGCCAAAAGTATGATTCAGACTGAAAATTGAATTCTTTAAATCACAAACTCCGTGGAACTTCAGCTGAGTTCTTCAAATCCCAAACTCTGCGGAATTTCAAATCCTCCCGTCACCAAACCTCTCGCTTTAACTCTGCTTCTTTGGAATTTTGAAGAAATAAAATTGATTTCTTCAATTCAGTTTTGGAGATATTTTAAACTGAATTTAAAACAAAAACTGTTAAATTCACAAAGTTTTGTGTTACTTTTTAAACTCAATATAAATTAAAAACTTAAAATCATTAATGTTTTCAGTTATTTTAAAATTTGAATTTTTAACACTGCTCCCTCCTCATCCGGACACAAAAGAACATATCGGCCAAAACATTTTGATAATAATGAACGATGAGAGCAATAGTTAGACTAAACCTTAAAATTATGAAAAAAAAAAAACATTACAATGTCCTTAAAGTGTGACTCAGTGGAAGCCAGTTGTTATTGGAACACACGCGAAATCAAATGATTTTATTTAAGTCTGGAGTGTTTGTATGACAAGCAGTAAAGTCTAAAAATTAGATTTCAAAGTGACCAAAAGCAAATCAAGAAAATAAATAAATGAAAACTTTCGGGATCAAGTACCACTTGGTCGGAAGTTAAGGAGTTCCGGTAGCAGACTTATATAAGCTAAGTCACAGTTAAGCTTTAGGGTAGTTACGCGAACGAGAATTAAAACATAACATGAGGTGATGTAACTTTTAAAAATATTTTTACCCCAAGCAAGGCAATAAAGCCAATAAAACGCCAGGGGTTACTGAGTGTGGGAGAATGTAACAAAAAGAAAAACATTATTAAGGAGAGAAAACAATAAAAGAATAAGAACTAACAAAACAGAAGATAACGATTAACATTGCATTTGAACTTTTTCAAATCAAAGTTGACTGGAAAGCAAGAGACCGGAAGAGAGTTTCACAAGCGAGAAGTGCGGGAGAAGAAACTGTTAGCATAGAACTTACGGTTACATCTGTCCATTTTAAGTGTAAAATGATGAGACCTTGGCGCCAATCTAGTGCTGCGCTTAAATTCATAAAATCTAAGTACTATAGCGGAAAGTTAATCAGAGCAATTATCATTAAACTATTTATAGATAAAAGGCGCAGGGAATCTACGTTACGCCGGTGGGAATGGGACTGAAGCCGAGATGCCATGTCAGTACCGATAACATTGCAGATTCTTCTCTCGATTTTCTCATAATTCCGAAATACATAAATAGACAGGGCATCTAGACGTGGTGTAATGGTTAGCAAACTTGTCTCACTAGAACAATTATGACGTAAGAGTGAATTCGATCCTCACTGCGTACCCCATGCTTTCGGTCTTGTGCCATATCTAAAAGCATAACATGAGGTGACGTGTCTTTTTTAACCATTTCACCCCAAGCAAGGCAATAAAGTCACTAAGACACAAGGCGTTACCAAGTGTGAGAGAATATAAGAAAAAGAAAAACATTATTAACGAGAGAACAATAAAAGAACAGGAATTAAGAAGAGAGAAGATAACGACTGACATTACATTTAAATTTTGGAAAACCAAAGTTGACTGGAAAACAAGAGACCGGGAGAAATGTTTAGAAGAAACTGCTAGTATATATCGGTCCAGACCGAAAAAGCAATGATCTACGTGCAGTATCCTTAAACATAACAGCAGTAGCAGCCCTAAATAGACATAATATCAGCAGCAGCTCTCGATTATAAAAACACGCGCGCCCTATAGTAACTCCTTTCTTCTGGGTTTTCCTATTTCAAACTGAGTGACATGAACTTTTCACACTGAAGCTAAAAAGGTTTTGAACGCTTCAACATTAAAACACACCAACACAGTAAGTCCCACTATAAAATATTCATGAACATTTCGTTGTGTATGCAATTTACTTCTAACAAAAGAAACTCATCTTTTAAACTTTCCTTTTTGTTTATTTTGTTTTAATAAATTTTATTTTGCATTGCAAATCAACTGGTCGGTTATTTTTTGCATATATTGTTTTTCACCACCCTTATTTGATGAACTATAAAATGCATCCATAAGGAACCCCACACATTTAATTATTGAAATAGCTAATCACTAAACAGGTAACATTAAAAGCCTGAATATTTAGTGGAATATGGACTACATACTTGTAAATCCGTGAAAGTTTGCGGGCGATTAATTTCGGGTGATCGACAAGTCCACCGGGTGAATTGCTGAACGAATGCGCCGTGGACAGGTTACAAAATCGTCTCCAGGCATTATAACCGGGTAAACCATGGTCCCTTCCACGCTGGATGTCAAAAGAGAATAATTCAATATGTCCGCCGAACATTCGCAGGCTCAGATCCTCACTGAAACGAAGATCATTATTCAATTGTGCTCTCTTCGTTAAAATTCCTCGCATCATTTCAGTCCCGCCGGTCATGTGCTGGTAGAGGTCTGCTGTGGTCACTTGCGAGAGGTTTTTGTAAATCGTCATTGTACAGCCTGGCCGAAGGGATGGCCGGAACAATTGTTCTTTTATGTCAACAAAGTCTTTGGTCGTGCACTTTTTCGACGCGTAGGGACATCCACCGGAGAACGCTACCCAGTCATCCACCATAAAGTGGGCGTAGCGATATGCTCCTGTAGTGAATCCATTGCGAATACCAGCATTCAATGTTTTGTCGTAGCCTGAAATGGACAGAAAATTGAATTATACAAAAAGTGAATAATAAAATTTATTCGATACGTAATTACCGTTTTCGGGGAACAGTTCTAACGATGAACGTGTTCGGAGAATTCTAGGGATATTTGAACGAAAAGAAGAAAGAAAGAAGAATGAGAAGGAAGAAATTAAGGAAGGAAGGAAGGAAGGAAGGAAGGAAGGAAGGAAGCAATTAAGGAAAGGAAGGAAGGAAGGAAGGAAGGAAAGAAAGGAAGGAAGGAATTAAGGAAGGAAGGAAGAAGAAGGAAGGAAGGAAGGAAGGAAGGAAGGAATTAAGGAAGGAAGGAAGGAAAGGAAGGAAATAAGGAAGGAAGGAAGGAATTAAGGAAAGGAAGGAAGCAAGGAAGGAAGGAAGGAAGGAATTAAGGAAAGAAAGGAAGGAAGGAATTAAGGAAAGGAAGGAAGGAATTAAGGAAGGAAGGAAGGAAGGAAGGAAGGAATTAAGGAAGGAAGGAAGGAAAAGGAGGAAATAAGGAAGGAGGAAGGAAGGAATTAAGGAAAGGAAGGAAGGAAGGAAAAAAGGAATTAAGGAAAGGAAGGAAGGAAGGAAAGAAGGAAGGAAGGAATTAAGGAAGGAAGGAAGGAAGGAATTAAGGAAGGAAGGAAGGAAGGAAGGACGGAAGGAAGGAAGGAAGGAAAGGAAGGAAGGAATTAAGGAAGGAAGGAAGGAATTAAGGAAAGAAAGAAAGGAAGGAAGGAAGGAAATAAGGAAGGAAGGAAGGAAGGAAGGAAGGAAGGAAGGAAAGAAGGAAGGAATTAAGGAAAGGAAGGAATGAATTAAGGAAAGGAAGGAAGGAAGGAAGGAAAGGAATGAAGGAAGGAATTAAGGAAGGAAGGAAGGAAGGAAGGAAGGAAGGAAGGAATTAAGGAAGGAAGGAGGGAAGGAAGGAAAGGAAGGAAATAAGGAAGGAAGGAAGGAATTAAGGAAAGGAAGGAAGGAAGGAAGGAAGGAAGGAAGGAAGGAAGGAAGGAAGGAAAAGGAATTAAGGAAAGGAAGGAAGGAAAGAAGGAAGGAAGGAATTAAGGAAGAAAGGAAGGAAGGAATTAAGGAAGGAAGGAAGGAATGAAAGGAAGGAAGGATGGAAGGAAGAAATTAAGGAAAGGAAGGAAGGAAGGAGAATATAGAATAAAAATAGCAGGAACTTATACAAAAAAAAGAAAGAGAAAATTGATAAGAAAAAGAAAGAAACGTTAGATATAATAAAGAAAGAAAAAAGAAATTGATAACTATCTGTCTGTCTATCTCATGTTCAAAATTATTTATCTCAACATGTTCATATCTATCTATCTATCTATCTATCTATCTATCTATCTATCTATCTATCTTGGTTTCTTCATACCTATCTATCTATCTATCTTAGTTTGTTCATATCTATATCAGGCTGTTCATATATATTTAACAATGTAAGGCTGTTCAAATCTGTCCATCTACACTCCCTGTTCATATCTATCTATCTATCTCTCTATCTATCTATCTATCTATCTATCTATTCTTCTGTTCATATCTATCTATATCAATCTTTTCATATTTATCTGTCTATCCATCTGTCTATCTACTCTTCCTGTTCATATCTATCTATCTATCTATCTATCTATCTATCTATCTACTCTTCTGTTTATATCTATCTATCTATCTATCTATCTATCTATCTATTCTTCTGTTCATATCTATCTATATCAATCTTTTCATATTTATCTGTCTATCCATCTGTCTATCTAATCTTCCTGTTCATATCTATCTATCTATCTAGCTATCTACTCTTCTGTTCGTATCTATCTATCTATCTATCTATCTACTCTTCTGTTCGTATCTATCTATCTATCTATCTATCTATCTATCTATCTATCTATCTATCCCAGTCTGTTCATATCTATCTTAGTTTTTGCTCAGCAGTGGCAGCGTACACAGAAAATTAACGAGTAAATCTCATAACTCTACTAAATGAGAGATTGAAAGAAAATTTACGTCCCGTATTTTTATAGGACCTCAAACACTGAAGACATTGAAAAAAAGTGAGCAGTGTTTATCGTCAATGAGTCATAAATGACGAAAAATTTCGTTCAGGAGAAACGTTCTCAGACGATGAACCCTGACGATGTAGCTAGAAAGCAATCCACGGCAAAGCACACAGGAATTAAGAAATTTACTCCAAGTAAGGCGATAATACCACTAAGATTCAATGAGTTAATGTGAGTGAATGAGAATAAGAAGACTTTAGAAGGAAGTAGAAACCGAATCCCAAGAAACAAGAGATGAACCTGTTCAAAAGATCGGGGAGAGGTGAGAACCGGTCCTCTACTGGTAACATATTCTAGTTCAGTGGAAGAAACAGACAAGCGACACGAAAAATGAATGAAGATGGGTGAAGACTACGTGTTATCTCCCCTAACTGATACAAGTTATCTCCCTTAAGTGGCAAAAGCGGAATTAGAACAAAAGCCTGGGTAGCTGCACCTTAGACAAACCTATCTATTCCTATTGAGGAAAAAATGAAATAAATATATAAATATTTAATAAATTATCACAGTTTAGGCGGAAACGTTGAAGTAGACTTTAGCAGGAACCGGAAACCCAGTCCTAAACAGGGAACAATGAATAAACTCCTACTCTTGTTAAAAAAAAAGAGCGGAGGGGAGTGTGAAATAAATCTCTATCTATAAAAGGCAGGATATGTGTGCGTGTGTGTGTGTGTGTGTGTGTAACGAATGCACGGCCGCAATTTTCGACGGATTTGCACCAAAATTTACATGCACATGCTCCAAGTTAGTAGGAAGGCCAAGACCGAGTTGGCATTTCCCAACTCCCATCGATAATGGAAATAATCGATTTTTTCATGCTTTTACGGTAGTTTTCATGTAGTTTGCGGCCATTTTCTACTGGCCAATAGCTGACTTCCACGAATAGGCAGGAAGATTCTATTGGCCAGCGTGTGAGCCTAGCTTACGGTCAAATCACGCTGAAAAACACCGGTTCTCGTTCGATCACCGAAGTTAAGCATCGTAGAGCCAGGTCAGTACTTAGATGGGGGACCGCTTGGGAACACCTGGTACTGTAAGCCTCCAAAGTCACACCCTTACCTCACAGTCGGTGGGGGGGTGTAAACGGTAGTGTCAGAGCTATGCCAACCGGAACTTCGTTCCTGGTAGGGCCACCCAAGGCGGACAGGTCTGACACACACGCCGGCTAACAAGGGCTCTGGTGAAAATCCAAGGAGCGTCTGCATCGGTAACCGGTGGCTTCTGGTCGTTCCCGTCTCTGCGTCTGTGGGAACCCCGCGGCAAGCAAGAACGTTATCCGAGTAGGCCTGGGTACTCTACTTCTGTAATTTATCCCAAGAATCTTCTTCTCATAACAGGAAGAAGCCGGCTCAATCCGCCCAGGGTGAATGCCGCATCAGTACAGTAGTACAGTAGTGAGAGCCAACAGCTGATTGACACGAATGTTAACTAGCATGCTAGCATGCAAAAAATATCGATGGCTGCGTTCGTCACAAGTGGGAAAAATTTAAATCTGCATGGCACTTAACTGCAATTCGCTCATTCGCTTGGAAATAATCGATTTTTTTCATGCTTCTACGGTAGTTTTCATGTAGTTTGCGGCCATTTTGTACGTTGATTCTGATTCCGCAGAACTGGGTTGGGTGTGAAAAAGTATTTGTTGTTAACATTTTTTTTTCATTCGGTTTTTCCAGTTACGAGTCCTTTTTTTAAAGCTGTTCATTTTGTTTAGTTCTTTTTTCGTAACAGATTTAATGTTTAGTATAAAGCTTAGAAAAAATTCGCAGTGTGAGATAGGCAAGAAGTAAGGCATGTAGCAACATCAGCACGGCAAAGGGCACTCCTTTAAAGGCAAGGAAGGGCAAAAATATATTAAGTGAAGTGATAGCGATTGCTGTATGAGTCGTACGGTTTTTGAATCAAGCACAGGCAACGCCGGGCCATGCTGCTAGTAGTAAATATAGTTTTCAGAGTTTAAGCGGAGACGTTAGGAGTATAGAGTTAAGGTAGACTTTAGAAGGAACCGGAAACTCAATCCTAAACAGAAAACAAGGGATAAAGCTCTATATATCTATATATATATATCTATATACTCTAAAAGACCGAGGAGGAGAGTGAACCGGACAATAGACAAACCTGTCTGCTCCTATTGAGAAAAAGAATAAATAAAAAGTAAATAAAATTTTCAGCGTTTAGGCGGAGACGTTAAAAGTATAGAGTTGAAGTAGACATTGATACCAGTCCTAAACAGGAAATAAGGGACACACATCTTTGCTTGTTCAAAAAATCGGGGAGATGTTAGAACCAGACTAATGATATTGATAGATATATGTTTTTTTGTTGAAGACCACATCTTAAGGCGCACATTTTGTCGACCCTTAAAACGCATGAGGACGGTTATGTGTTGGAATTTTTGGGTACCCTGTGGTACTAGTGAGCCAGCCAAAATGAGCTGACTCATTTTATAGTTCACCAATAGAAGAGTTAACCAATCAGAAGGCTCAAAATATTCAATGCGACGTGTATAAAGTCGGCCATGTTTTTTTTTTTTTGTTGTTTTTTTTTTCGAATATTCACTGCCAACCTGTGATATCGAAGACTAAAGAATTACGGAACCGCTGCTGGTGAGTGTTAATCTTTAACGTTGTTTCATTGAACAGATTACGTACTGCGCTGTATTCTATATTCATAGACTTTGCGTACATGGTCAACAGGTTACGTATGTGGAGCTGTGTTCCAATTCCAGTTGGATTCGATATATTTACTTATGCTCAAATACCATTGGAAAAAGTATGAATCTACCTCTTCTCCCCAGCTATGGATTAATTAGTAAGTTTTGTTTCACTAAAACTATTATTATCTCAAAAATTAAAATTGCGTATCGAATATTTAAATTTCGCCATTAAATAACCCATAGATGTATTGAAATGCCGCTAAAATAAAACAACCAATCAACTAAATTCTTCTTCCTGATTATTATTAGTATTATTGAACCGGACTATTGATATAGATAGATATAGATATATGTTTTTTGTTGAAGACTACATCTTAAGGCGCGCATTCTGTCGATCCTTAAAACACATGAGGACGGTTATTTGTTGGAATTTATATGTGTTGGAAGTTACACAACGCTTGGGAAGAACGTTCTTTAAGAAAAGAAAAAGAAGAGAAAAAACACAGTGTTTGACAATGTTAATGTCTTCTTCAAGCGACATTTAAAGGAAAATGAATAGATTGACAGGAGAGTTCCATAAGATTTATACTAAGCTATTTGATTAATTCCTCTTAGTAACTAATCAACTAACGGATATTTCCAAGACGAGCACGATTAACATCATATTACGCACGTTCCAGTTACATGCCACTTATGTTAGCTGCGTTTCATTCGTTTTAACGCATTGATTACAACTACAGCCACCCGCTACGATTACAAAAGTCAAGGGGATGATGACGATAATGATGACGATGATTGAGAATTGTGAGTATTAAGTTTGATAATGAAATGGCTTTCAGCTTTCCTATGGCTGTTCTAAGAAGTAAAAGAATAGTCATGAAGAGTGCATTTAATATGGTCTATACCAGCGTTTCTCAACCGGGATTCCCCGGAACCGTAAAGTTCCGCAAAAGGTCTCCAAGAGTTCCGCGAGAACAGGGGAAATAAGATAAGCTAATGCACTTTGGACTTTTTATTTAATTTCATATACGTAATATTACTAAACACACACAATATATTCTTGGTTATTGTAATACAGACATCATCCTGTCTAACCTATTATGTTATTAAAAATACATTAATATTAATATATTAATATTAACATATTGATATTAATATATTAATATTAATATATTAATATTAATATACTAATATTAACATATTAATATTAATATATTAATATTTTTTAACAATATCGTGAAAGTTTATTGAAACAAAACAAGTTCAGTTGACCATTGATGACAATTCCAGAACAACGTAACTATAAACAATTTTTTTTCTATCCTCTGCTAGCCGCAATGATGGAGAAAGCATTACCTCGAACCATGGCCAGTGAGACACACTGCAAGAGCCACTCTGTTTCACGAGGCTCGTCCCTTAATCGAGACGCAATCGTGCCAATCCTCCGAAGGAACGCCATCGAACGACGGCCAATAAACCATGAAGTCTTCACAGCCAGAGGAATAAAAAAAACATATCAGCAAGAGAAGAATATTTAACTATTTTTTTCATCTCTGCGTCCCGAGCGACGGATCCTGGCTCAAACGCGGACCTGATCAAATCACCGACTGAAAATGTAACCGTACAGGTCGCATCCCAAATCAACGACTTCCCCATTTTAAAAAGTGAAAATGGTAATGCCATCCGGCCGCTTCCCATCACCGCGCGTTGAGACCTACGGGTTCGATTTGGGAAGGGAACCCAGATGCATCTAAACCTCTTTTGATGATGTCGTTAATGGCCGCATGCCGTGAAAAGCGGCCGGCACTACGACGACAGGAGAGAGGATGCAAACCAAAATCATCGATGGAGGCTCCACATCTGCATCTGTGACGCTCACATAATTTGAATCCAAGACGGATCCCGACTCCGACCCGACTGCACTCATCTTTCAGAAGGGTACCGGTAGATGAAAGAGAGCACTGCGTTGTGCCAGGTGCCACTACTCGGTTGTGAAGTAGATAGTAGACAGGCGAGGCGATGCTGATCCAGAGAGAGCCTCAAATCAGAAAAATTGGCCTCGCATTTTATTTTATCCCAGCTTTTTTGTTTTGATGTGTCTAGTGGGAGAGAAAGTAATTCTTGAGTCCAGGCGCTGCAAACTTGTTCGAAAGAACTACTCGAGAAACACTGAGACGATCCACCGAGTATCTCATTAATATTAATATAATATATTAATATTAATAAATATATTAATATTAATATACTATTTATAGTAAAGGATAAAAAATAAAAAACTGATACAGCAATTATCTGTTTTCGTTCTGTTTACATATATATATAGTTTTAGTTTAGAATTTTTTGTGTGAATGAAAACTCCCTGATGAAGTATTATAAACAAACGATATGAATTTTATTCAGCATTACCGAAAAATTTGACAAAGAAGTATTAATTTTTCCAGTTATTCAAAAATATATACTCTGATATTTACCACGTGAACTTTAATGAAAATAAAATGAGAAAGATATGGTATATAATTTTGTTTTTGTGCAGGGGTTTCTTGAGACAAGTAATTTATTTTGAGGGTTACGCAAGGGTTAAAATGGTTGAGAAACGCTGGTCTATACTATGATTAGGCAAGTTGAAATGTTGGGCTAAAGGTTATTAAAGTTATCTCTAATCGTATTTTTGCGATTGTTGAATCGGAGAAGTTGAGAGCATGTCTAACCAACATAATTGCCTCTGTCACATATATTGCAAACAATCAGGTGGAATTTGATGGAGCTGTCACACGTAAAGTGTGGGGGCACCTAATCCATTATTAAAAAAAATACGGCCGTATTCTTCTATATGCATTGTTCCTTCTTGACGTTGGAGATCATAGCTCTCCACAATTTCCTGTTCTTTGTACCTGTAAATAAATTTTGTCTTTTTCTTATCTCTCCTAAACCCTGTTCTGTCATCCATTTAGACAAATTCGTTAAGTAAGTTATGCACTATTTTACTCTGTCCCTCTTGCCTTCAATCTGTCCTGTGTGTGTCAAATTTTCCAAGCACTCTTTCCTCATTATGTGCCATAGAAATTGTCTCTTTACCGAAATGATATCCCATCTTCTTCGAGTATAGGCCATATTGTTTCATCACTTTGTCTCCAATAATGATTGGTAACAGTTCATTGTAGACGATGTGCTGGTATTCAGCCCGGACTAATTTACTTGCTTCCTGAAAGAGGCGCTCGTCTGTCCAGTCTGGGTTCAAGTTGTACAGTTTCTCGGCGACCCGGTTATGCTCCAGGGTCCAGATGACGTGCAGGTACGTCAGGATTGGGTGTTGATTAAGCCTTAAGTCCCCTGAAAGAAAATAGTAGTTTATTATGGTGAAATGTCCCCCAAAGAGGAATAAGGATATTTTTTTATTTACACTGATTATAAGCAAACGACTCTCCTCATCTTTGTTGTTGTTATCACAACGTAGTACCCCCCGGCCTTCATCAGGTATATATAGACTTGGGTAAACTAGAAGGAATTCCGAACTGAACACTTTATTTAATCTACGGGGGTAGAATGTTCTTGTTCTTATTTTTAGTACTGCTCGCCTTGTTTCCACTGAGTCCAACGATGCACTGCCCGACCCAGGGATTAAACTCACAATTACTATGTCACAAATTTCACAAACTAATGTGTTAATCCACATGTCTGATTATGTATGGAGAGAAAGGGTAGACATCAGCCAACAACAAAGATGAGGATAATAGTCCGCTTGTAAATAGTAGATGCAAAGGTAGATTTTTAGTCAGGGTTACTTCAGAGCTCCTGAGAAGTCAGGTGCATCAGAAATTTGACCAGTAAGATACCTTCTTAGCCACCAGATGAAAATTCGTGCCTAACAGGATGTTAGTCATTGATACCAATATACACTGATCTCACCTTAGATTTTTTTTAGTATCAGTGAAGCCAAGGTTAACCTGTATGATAGCTTCTTAGTTACCACAGGCAGATTCGCGCTTCACGAGGTGTTAGCGATCAACAGGTAGACAAACAAACTAAGTTTATCACTATCTCACGCAGAACAATCGAATAATAGGAAATATACAGTGTCCTATAATGAAGGGACACATTTTAAATGCAAGGATCTTGGTTTATAAAAATGACATAGAGTAGCAAATATGTTTATTATTGTTGTAACCTAGGGAAGGTTACTGCATAGAATAATTAAACAAAGCTTGGTAATGAACGATAATACTTAGGACACGAACAAACGCATATAAGATTCGCCAGCGGCGCGTAGAAGTAGTCAACTGCTAGAAGTGAGTCAAGTAAATTCCACAATGAATCTCCAACTGTAGGATATCTACCAACTGCCCAACGTGGTCAGATGTGGCACAAGGCCAAGTTTATTAATGGGTATCCGAACCCGTAGTCTCGGCCAAAAATTCCACGTAGATCCCGTATAAAACGGGGTCGGATTGCTGTTTCATCTGGGGATCCTCTGAAAGGCAGAGAGCTTGACCAACAGAGCTGGACATAAATCTGCAACTGCAGGATATCTACCAACCGCCCCACGCGGACAGATGTGGCACAAGGCTGAATTTAATGTGGGTATACGAGCCTGTAGGCTCGGTCAAAAATTCCCCGTAGATCCTGTATAAAACGGGGTCAAATAGCTGTTTCCCGAGACGAGACTCTGCTCTTCGACGTAGTCTCGTCTGGGGATCCTCTCTGCACGGAGGCAGAGAGTTTGACCAACACAGCTGGAGACGTATTTACTACTGTATTTATGTAAATGGGGACATACCCATTATCGTCCGTAAGTATGCTACAACAATTGATGCAAGAGTTCAACATATCTATGATTTTGCTATTTCCTACAAATATTTGTTATCTCTTTTGCTGATCGTGGACCCTCATAATGCCTCTGTTTGAAATGAGGAAGCGAGCTCGTGCACGTTCTCTTCATGGTGGTAACCATCTCAGGGATGTAATGTTAAAATCTTAGATATATATGTTGAACTCTTGTATATCAGTTATGTAATAAATATATTTAGTACTAGATATTATTTTTGCATTTAAAATGTCTCCCATCATTATGGAACACCCAATATAAGCGCTTCCCCGGAAAGGAAAACAGACAACTTCTCACATTATTTGGACTGTTATCTTTATCTTTATTGCCATATTCACAACATTTCGGACGTTGTACGCTCCGGCCTTCTTCACAATATTGGAATTTCGAACCGACTCCTTTATTTCGTCCACCTGGGTAGATTTTTCTACTTCCACGTGTCATGTTCTTCCGAAGAAGGCCGGAGCGTGCAACGGCAGAAACGTTGTGAATATGGCAATGTAGATGAGAATAATATTCCGAATAATGTAAATATTGTAAATAATCATAATACCTCATCTTGGAGATAAAGACAGTTTCTCACATACTTGCGAAAATAAAATCCACGTTCGGAGAAAGCACCTCCACCTAAACCACACCCACCTTTACGCCGAAGGTCTGGATTGGAATAAATATTAATTTTATGTATGACGGATTTGGTGTTGTGTTCTTTATAGGATTTAAAATTTATGATAAAGTTACTATCTGTGTTTAAAAAACGTACGCTTACTGTCCAGGCTGGTTTAAATTCAGAGTTTTCCTAGAGAGGTTGTCAATTATGTATACAACTTTACCTGCAAGCATACACGGATATTTTGAATTTTCACACCCAGTAATCCCATTCCAATCCGGGGAAAGTAAAATGTCATCTCCGCATTTCACCATCTTTATCATACCTGAAAAATAAACATTATTTTAATAGATATTTTTTAAACACAGCAATAAGAACAGACATAGTAACAGAACAATCATAGCAAAAAGAGGAGTGTAGTAATACGATTTCTGACACATCCTTAGGAAATAAATAGATAGATTCTTTATCCTTTTGAGTCAATTTAATGACCAGGGTTTCTTAGGAATCTTGTCTTCTGTCCATCTTTGAGTCAATTTAATTACCAGGATTTTTTAAGAATCCCGTCTCCAGCGCACCTTTGTCATGAGTTTATGCAATCATTAACTGAAGAATTAAGATTCGTGAGAAAATTCAAATAGGATAACCGTGAAATTATCACGGGTCTTTCTAGTTTTGTTAAGGTTGTTAAGCTCAAATATTTAACGATGCGATAGGGGAATTTCTACGGATATTTTATTGTCGTAGAACACACCATGAGTTTATTCAATCATTAACTGAAGAATTAAGATTCATGAGAAAATTCAAATAGGAACTGAAATTATCACGGGTTAAAACGATAGATAATTTTAACCCATTGATGGGTTATATATATATCGGTACATGTTGAGCTGTTGAGTGTTTCCCCGTGCGTGTATTGAAATAAGGACAAACTTATACGTAGGGAAAATACTGGTATATCTGAAGAGGTATTTACAACAGAGAGATTAGTAGTCAAACGAACGCAGGTTAGTCAGTAACAATCAGAAAGAGTATAAAGTCCAATTGTATCTTCCGGTAGAGAGACGGAAGTGTGATGGTCACCTGATCTTCCCAGAACTCTATAGAACTGTCCTATTAGTAGTAGAGAGATCAGTCCATTCTGATGAGAAGGTGGGTGCGCTCCAACACTACATAAAATAAAAATTATAGACATAATAATATTAATAAGTATGAATAATTAATATTAATTAATATTCCAAATTTATTAATTTTCATTACCTTTCTTCTTCAATCGAAGATAATTGATGCCATATTCTGAGGTGCCGTATATATTAGAAAGATCCAAAAAGGAAGTTTGTAAATTCTTCTGCTCTCTTGGTCCTGAAAATTAAAAGAATATATATATTCCTTTAGTTCCCTTTGTTTTCCATTAGTAAAAAGAACATTTGGACAGCTTCTTCCCAAGAACTGTTGCTTTGTGGAACAGAAACCCAGGAGAATGTTTCCCGACTACTATAAACTGAACCAATTCGTCTCGTGTTACCATATCCGCATAAACTGCGCCCCTTACTCTTACTGGTCTAACAAACGCCTTCGATAAGGCTCTGCCTTGAGTGACTCTTGGGATTTGCATTATTAGGGCACTAATAATAAAAAAGACAAAACTGATTAACATCAGCTATGAACACGGCCACAATGTGGTGACCGTGTTTGGAAAATAAAACATTGCTATAACTCTAGATACATACATAAAAAATTCATACATTCAGTTAAGAATAAAATAAAAATCATCATTGATAATGGCTAAGAGAATAGCCAAAAGCGCTCCGATATGCAAAAGATTTCTAAGATTTCTACAATTTTTATACACAGAAAAGAAAGCACTCGTACGAACATAAAAAAATTAAATAAACACCTTTATAGCAGTAACTTGTTAGTCGTAAATGTAAGTAAATGCTCTGTTTATAATAAACAGTATTAACGACATTTACCGGCCTGAATATCCGGGAAATTTATTTAGAAAATATGCGTCCTCCGACACTTTAAAAAAACAGTAAAATCGACCTTGCTAACCGAAACGCTCCTCTGTGGCTCAATCGGTAAAAGCATGTCAGGCTATATGACGGTTCCTTATAGGGTACAGGTTCGATTACTGGTTATTATAAACAGAAAATTTACTTAAATATTTGTATCTATAAAAAGAACGTATAGACACAAAAAATGTCTTAAAAATAATTGTCGGACTTTCATTATATATATATATATATATATATAAATATATTTCAATTTTGTTCTTTTGCATTTGTGTGTGTGTGTGTGTGTATATATATATATATATATATATATATATATATAACCGACGGTTTCGGAACTTGGGCTATTTTAGGATATGGTAGGGTCCATATTAAAGTGGCCTTGTGTCCCACCCTGCCAGCATGGAAAGGAAATTCAATGACTTCTCGGCTTTTTTAAATAAGTGTAGTATCTGTTCTTATCAGCTGCATCTGATTCTCTCTCTCTCTCTCTCTCTCTCTCCATTTCTATCTCCATTCTTTCTTTCTTTTTCTCACTGAAACCAAGTAGCGTCTTTTCTCTTCTTTTCAAGCGATCAAAATGGAATAGCCAATTATTCATGAGGTATATTAGCAGGACGTAAAGGTTGTGCGAACGAACGAAACGAGGGAAATTGAAGAAAGGGAGATAATTTAACGGATTGAAGTGATATACTTACCGAAGTCGCAATTCAATGACCTCGTAGGAATAGAACGTAAAAAGCTATAACATTTGGGCGTCTGGCCGTCCAGATATCTCGGTGGGGTCAGAATAGGGATGCAAGGGGTTCTACAATATAACATTTCAAATTTTATAATATATATATATATATATATATATATATATATATATATATATATAGAGAGAGAGAGAGAGAGAGATAGATAGATAGATAGATAGATAGATAGATAGTTTTGTCAACGGCGTAGCCAGGGCCGGCAGTACCTACGCTAATTTTATATCACGTGCATGATGCAACCCCTTTAAAATAATCTTCAAAAGTATTTCTTCGGTAGATAGATAGATAGATTAACAGCGTTAATATATATATATATATATATATATATATATATATATATATATATATATATAAATATATAAAATTAGCGTATGTATTGCTGATCCTGGGTACGCTTTTAATCTATCTATCTATCTAACAGTATTTTAATAACAGCAGCATTCAATGTGAGATATAATTTATATATATATATATATATATATATATATATATATATATATATATATATATATATAAAAACATTAGGCAGCATATAATTTATATACAAAGAAATAATCATACATAGAATCAATCAGTAATATTAATGATATTATTGGCGACATGCATCGCTAGTAGTGTATAATGTATGCATTAAAAGATGAGGATCACGTCACTCTAACAGTATTTTAATGCATACATTATACACTACTAGCGATGCATGTCGCCAATAATACCATTAATATTACTGATTGATTCTATGTGTGATTATTTCTTTGTATATATATATATATATATATATATATATATATATATAAGAACACATAGAAGTAAACACTTAGAGGCGACTGTCTGTTTCATGTTAAACGCAATCGTCAGGTGGCGTGACGATTGATCTATCTCTGATATTGAGCAGTTTATATAACTGGTTAGTAAACAATTTTTCTTTCTTACTGTCTTTTTTCTTTCTTTTCTTCTGAAAAGAGGTTGTATGTTGTTTTTAAATCTCTATAAATTGTTTACTAACCAGTTATTCACTAACGCCTGATGAGATGTGTTAGTACACATCGAAACATGATTGCATTTGTGTAGAGATTTTAATATGCTTTGATGTAATATCCTAAAATAAAGTATATATATATATATATATATATATATATATATATTCAATTATTATTTAATTATTTTCTTAAATTTTAATTTAAGGCTTAAATTATTTCAGCAGGAACTCGCTACGGAGGATGGTTTTTCAGCTGGTATCAATAATTTACTTATTCTACTAAAAATGGCCAAAAGATTTAATAATAATAATAATAATAATAATAATAATAATAATAATAATAAGAAGAAGAAGAAGAAGAAGAAGAAGAAAGTGGATAACTATGAAACAATTTCAAAAGACTTACTCAGAATTATTTCGTTTTTTGCAACAAATGGAATCGCCAGGAACTGTGGGGGGAAAAATCAAAGATCGGTTTTATTTCGCAGCAACAGAATGAGAGCAGGAAAAATGGAGGAATGATTGGAGAAAAATCCAAAAAATAAAACAAAATAAATAGAAGAATAGAAATAATGTTACCAGAAATAGAAATAAAGAAAGATTACCAGAAATAGAAAGAAAGATTACCAGAAATAGAAAGAAAGATTGCCAGAAATAGAAAATTATCAGAAATAGAAAGATTACCAGAAATAGAAATAAAGAAAGATTGCCAGAAATAGAAAGAAAGATTACTAGAAATAGAAGGATTATCAGAAATAGAAAGTAAGATTACGAGAAATAGAAAGAAAGATTACGAGAAATAGAAAGATTACCAGAAATACAAAGGAAGATTACCAAGAGTAGAAAGATTACCAGAAATAGAAAGTAAGATTACCAGAAATAGAAAGATTACCAGAAAAAGAAAGAAAGAAAGAAAGAAAAATTATCAGAAATAGAAAAAAAGCAAAAACGGAAAGAAGAATAAAAAACAAATAAAAAAGATACAAAAGTTAATATAAAAAATGAAAGAAAGAAAATAAATAAATAAAAAACAGAAACAGATAGAGAAAATAATAAAAGTTACTAATTAATTAATATATATATATATATATATATATATATATATATGTATATATATATGTGTGTGTGTGTGTGTGTGTGTGTGTGTGTATGTGTGTGTGTGTGTGTATAAATAAAAAGAAAGAACAGTAAGATATATAATCCGGTGTTCTTATAGATATCTTTATTTTTACAAAATAGTGCTCAATGTAAATTTAGAGAGCATTAATATTATAAATTAATTGATTTCAAAAATGAAACATGGTTAGAACTGTGTAGCGGAAAAAAACATATTTTAAATCAATTAATTTATATTATATATATATATATATATATATATATATATATATATATATATATATATATATATAAGAACACAAATGGAATGGAAAAAAAAAGAAGGAAATAGAAAGTAAAAAAAGTGATCTTTGATAAACGAATAAAATAACAAACCTGAAAGAAAGAGAAAAGAAAAAAAAAAAAAACAACTATCAAATAGACAACAACAAATCAGGACGAGAATAAATAATTTAAAAAAACAAAAAAAAAAAAAAAAAAAAACCCGGAAAATAATTTATTGCTCCGGGAAAATCTGTGGACAAAAAGTTCCAACTTTTAATCATTGGTTTCATCTTGGAATCAACCACAGGCATATTGGCTCGTAAATTCTTCAACTCGCTGTTGAGAGAAGATAACGCTTTAAAGAACCCGGCTTTTCCATAAACGGACGCCATTATTATCCACGCGTTTAAGCAAAGCAGACGATAACTTATTTGAAAGCCGGGAATCTTTTGTTACGGGAAATAAAGACATTTTTTTTCACTTATACCCGAGACACGTTGTCACCAAGACGAGAGATTTATTAGTAGATATATTTTTGTTTATCTGTCTATATTTCTGAGATGAGGTGTTGTAATTATTCACACTATTTAATATGTTCGGATTTTTATCCCCATCTTTGTTGTCATATTTACGATATTTCGGCCGTTGTACGTCCCGGCCTTCTTCAGGTGATTGGAATTTCAATACGTGGCTACTACAGAGGTGAACAAAAACTTTGAGAGTTGAGTTATAGGGAAATAACTGACACTGAGCTATCCGGAAGAGGCACGGCACGTGGAAGTAGAACAATCTACCCTGGTGGACGAAGTATAGGGTTCGGTTCAAAATTCCAATCACTTGAATTTTTGCTTCTAAAACTAATAGAGATTCAGATGTTCCGTTTGTACAAGAGGAATTTACTAACGTCCCAAGGGGCCCTGAAGAGCAAGTTACAGCACGTGGGTGACGATTGCCCGTTGGTGACGATAGTGCATTTTCTGCTTAGACGACAAGAGGGATAGATGTAACAAGCTGTGATTAGGCGTCCTAATATATAGGAATATTAAATATATCACCAGGATTAGTCATGAGCCTCTAAGGGACATTACAGGTAGGACTTTCTTTATATTTGTCCCCTAACTTAATACTTTCTTTTTTCATGTGCCTCTGTGTTGGGACAAATTGTGATAGATGAGGTGAATCCCAGAAGTTTTGAAATATTTTTTCAGAATAGACATTTAGTAATTTCAAATTACACAACGCTAATCTTCTTCATAGTGGGACACTCACTACTGTCAGAACTTTCCCTAGTATCAACGTGTTTCCTTACGACCCTTCTACAAAGGACCAGTCTAATAAATGTACGATAGTGATAAAATCTCCATGTATAGACGGCATGCGTTGTATGCCTTTGACTTTAGCCAAGATAAATAATTTTTGCATAACTGTCCTCATCTTTGTTGTTATCACAACGTTTCGGCCGTTGTGATCTCCAGCCTTCCCCGGCTGTGTATCGATCTGGGTAACCTGCAGGGAAAGAATTTCTGGGATGAGGAGTTATCATTATTTAGACTATTTAAATTCGGACTATTGTCCTCATCTTTGTTGTTGTTATCACAACGTTTCGACCGTTGTGCTCTCCGGTCTTCCTAAGGTGTATATTGAGCTGGGTAACCTACAGGGAATTAATTTCTGGGATGAGGAGTTATCATTATTTACACTATTTATATTCGAATTATTGTCCTCATCTTTGTTGTTGCTATCACAATGTTGTGGCCGTTGTGTTCTCCGGCCTTCCCCAGGTGTATATCGATCCGAGTAACCTACAGGGAATGAACTTCTGGGATGAGGAGTTATCATTATTTACTCAATTTATATTCTGTCTATTGTCCTCATCTTTGTTGTTGTTATCACGACGTTTCGGTCGATGTGCTCTCCGGCCTTCCCCAGGTGTATAACTAGCTGTGTAATCTACAGGGAATTAATTTCTGGGGTGAGGAGTTATTATTTACGCGATTTATATTCGGACTGTTGTCCTCATCTTTGTTGTTCTTATCACGACGTTTCGGTCATTGTGCCATCCGGCATTCATCAGGTGTATATTGACCTGGGTAAACTACAAGGTATTTCACACCGAACACTTTCTTTAATCTACGGGGCAGATTGTTCTGGTTCCACTAGGGATATCTCGTCTAGTTCTTAGTTTTAGTCCTGTCAATTATTGCTTTGTAGTTTTCCATCGAGGAAATGGATTCGTACTTTTCCCGAAGGTATTAGTGCACAAGTGAATGTAATGAACCCGTGTCGATTTCTCATTCCGGGCCGCTATTCATTATACCACATGCACACCGAAACCTAGGCCTTGGATTGGTTTATACTGGACATCAAGAAAGAAGCCATAGGTTCGGTTTACACGAAATTCAAAAAAATTACACACAGACACGGTTTACACAAATGTCAAGAAAGTAAACATAAATGTTGTTTAGACTAAAGTCAAAACATTATACACAGGTACTATTTGCACAAGGAATTTACTAATGTCCCAAGGGGCCTTTTAGATCAAGTTACAGCACGTGGGTGACGATTGTCCGTTGGCCGGAAAAAGGGAAACGAAATTTCCAATTTCCCATGATAGCCCATTGGTCTGGTTTATATTAAATTTTTTAAAAATTGCTGATAGGCACGGTTTATACTCGATTAAAAAAAAAATGGACGTAGGTTCAATTCACACCAAATTCAAAAGCTACACACATAGTTTACAGTAGACAGATTCGGTTTACATTAAATTCATAAAATTGCACACTGGCACGGTTTACCAATATTTCCCAACCCTTGACCCGCAAATAAAAATTAGAAAACAAACAAGACGATATTGTAAAGTCCTCGTTAATTATAGGGCTAAAATGCATACTTACTTGCATTGAATATTAACCCGGCAGTTTTCGACATGTCGTGAGAGACGAACTGTCCGAAAAAGACTTTGAATTCGTTAATATTCCGTGTTACGGACGAGTTGGTATTGCCGGTAAACAGAAAATGGCGAATAGAGGCAGGGTTCATGAGGGGTTGTCCGTTTCTACCTTTTTGTCGGGGACTAGATTTGCCTGTAGATTTATAAAAGCGAAAACAAACATAAAGAAATCGAGAATATCGTCGGGATTGAGCGCATTTACAAATCCTTTCCCGGCAGTTGAAATTTTAGGGCCCCATGATGAGGAAAGCGGGCTTGGAGAATTTGGCACTCATATGAGATTTTGAAGGCAATGGATAGCAAAAGGAAAGATAACAAAATGACCAGTCTTACTAAGAGGTGAAAAAATGGGAAGCTGTGCAGGGCCATGATAGCCCACGTAATAATTCCACCACTTCTCCCCAGCTACGGATTAAATAGTAAGACAGTATCTAGAAAAGTTAAAAAAATTGTTAATGCAATGACTCGCAAAAGTAATGAATTATACTTACAATTCAAAATGTTTCGGTACAAGGGGTCAGTAAGCCGTAAAAATTAAATTGATCCACTGATGATGACTCGTGTATAGGTCGAGCCCTGATTCTGATCCAGAAATCTCTTGCATCACTGCACCACTTCTTATTTTTATCTCAAGAAAGGCTCAGTTTTCGCTATGTCGATCGCAACTGTTAAAGCTAATGGAGCAGCAAATTTAGACTAATTTTGTTGTTAAGACTCGTGCATAGGTCGACTCGCACCGGTTTCTAATTGGAGTCCATAAAAATGAATGTGCGGAAGCCATTCAGACAGTTGAGAGTTGAGAAGGGAAGCAGCGGAGGTCGCTGGGAGATTCCACAACTCTTGCCGAACACAAGAACTTCCGATTTTAGCCTTGAGCCAAACTTACCAAATCAGTAAAACAAATTTCGCTAACTTCGCAAGCCAAAGAAACTTACTAGCTTACCTAAGTGTTGCGTCCGAGTTAGGAAAGGGTTGGGTCGACTAACACCTGTATGTGAACACAACTACAAACGAGCCATTGTACGCAGTATTCCATATAAAAATAGTAATTATTTTTAGATATATTTCGAGTGCTGTTTTTTCTCCAATTTTATTATACGACTTGGACCAGCCCAATACGAAGAAACCTGCGACGAATCGATCTTGGCCTCCTTATAATCAAATCAATCACAACGTTTGGTAAGGCAGGTCAGGATCGAAGAGATCAATCCATTGATCAAACCAGGATACACCCCGGGCTGACCACGACGAAAGGTTACATTTGTTGCCGTTTGTCGTGAGCCAGGATCGACCATGAAGTGTTACAGCTCAAATTAACGTCCATATTGTCTCATTTTGATCTTGCCGATATGACTTCCATCTTCTGGCTTTCTTCTTCTATATTTTGGATTCACTTGTTCAAATTTAAATTAAATTTAAATTAAAGGTGAAAAATATTTCAGTGGGAAAAGGTTGTATCCCCCGGAGACTCCCTTTGATCAAAATGAAATATACTTATCCAAGTACCGTGGGTAATGTAGCTTCCGAATATTTATGGGTTATTTCCAAAACCGTAGGACGAGTTCGATAACAAACAGACAGCCAGAGGCTACAAATTTATATGTAGAGATACCCTCCCCCAAAGGCGTTTGTGCGAAAGTGAACGCAACAGACTAGATCGGAATTTGAACTCTGTTATTCTCTTTTAGACACTTTTACTCTACACACTCAATAAACATTTATTCTTATTCGACTTTAAACTGATGCGGAACTATGAAAAAACGTGTAGAAAAAGAAAAGGCGGTTTTTATCTCGATTTCAAGGGTTTCTGTTTGAGGGACCAGGAGATGACACCTCCTAAAGTACGGTCTTCTAAGCGGCATCCACTTTGAATGAAGGGCAACGAGAAGTAAATGAGTGGATGAGATTTTTTTTTTAAGATCAAGTGACAACAAAAGTGGAAATAGGGTGTATCCGGGTACTGATTTGTACTAAAAGTCATATCTGTTTATATTTCTGAGATGAGGTATTGTAATTATTTACACTATTTACATTGTTCAGACTGTTGTCTTCATCTTCGTTGCCATATTCACGACGTTTCAGCCGTTGTATACTCCGATCTTCTTCAGGGTCTGTCAATATTTCTGAGATGAGTTTCCGGAGTATTGTTCTCATCTTCGTTACCATATTCACGACGTTTCGGTCGTTATACGCCCCGGCCTTCTTCAGGGTTTGTCTATATTCCTGAGATGAGGTATTGTAACTCTTTATACTATTTACATTATTCGAACTGTTGTCCTCATCTTCGTTGCCATATTCACGACGTTTCGGCCGTTGTACGCTCCAACCTTCTTCAGAATTTGTTTATATCTCTGAGATGAGGTATTATAATAATTTCCACTGTTTACATTGTTCGGACTGTTGTCCTCATCTTCGTTGCCATATTCACAACGTTTCGGCCATTGTACGCTCCGACCCAGTGGATAAAAGCGTTGGTTGAATCCAGTGATTTGACCCGAAAGAACCGTAAGTTCAGTGCCTGGCTACAACTGAGGCGAACAAAAAACTTACAGAGTTGAATTAAAATTTATGTTAAATACCTTTTTGCTTGTTTAGAATAATTAAAAGTTGGTTTGCAATTAGCAACTCTAATTAAAAAGAAAGTATGATAGCTTCAGAAAATTATCAGAGGTACGCAATTAATTATCCAGGTACGCATTTGTCTAGGGACGCAAATGCCCAGGTACACATTTGTCTAGGACAGGTTTTTTCAAACTTTTTCACTTGCGGACTCCTTTATATTTCAGGCTTTACCTTAGGGACCCCCTTATAAACGCTTATGAAATTTATACATAAATATTTGTTGAATATAACATATAATTTTGCATTAACGCCTAACAGCCAATGAGAAAGCCAGAAATCGCAAAATAGATCCAAAATTCAAATCCTTTGGTTCCTTCTCTGCATGAATAGAATCCATTATCTTTATCAATTTAAGATACAAATTATATTAATATATCAAATCTGTGAAATAGTTTATTGAACCAATTTATTTCATAATCGGCCTATAAGTTACTTCTAAGCGCTTATAAGTTGCACGTCACCCATAAAAAAGTGTTTGCTGTCTACAGACCCACTATTTTGTCCTGGTGGACCCCCTGTGGTCTGCGGATCACAGTTTGAAAACCCCTGGTCTAGGGACGCAAATGTCGAATACATAACTGTCCGTCTACCGTGTCAACCCCAATTTTAGTTTGTGAACTTGTTGCCATATTACTGTTGCTTTTCCCTAATACTGTTAATTTGACTTGCATATATTGTTTGCTTGCTTTATATTATTTCTTGCCCTTTTCTTCTATTATTTTCTATTGCAAACCTTGTCAATTCTGTTTGGCGGGCATTTCTCTCAGTTACATTTAACCATGGCCAGTTACTCTACAGAGTGAATAAATTTGCATAAATCTCGATAAAATTGGATACAACAGTTTTTTTTCCTTCTTTTTTAGCTAATGTTCCTTTTACTGTTAACCAGACACAGTGTAAGTTGGCAGTAGCAAAGCAGTAGGATTCAAGATGGCGGCATTATGATTCAAGATGGCGTCAGAAAAAAAAATAACAAGAGACTGATCAGATCGAGACTTTCATTTGGATGTTATGCTTGGTATCAAACTATTAGAAATATCTAAACTGTCAGCTGTATAAAACCGCTTTCTCAGATCAATGATAAGGAATGGCCTCGAACAAATAAAGCCGGTAAGACTTAGCGAGGACCTTCCTTTTTCCAACCTTTTGATTCGTGGACCTATTTATTGCAAAATTATCAACAATACCTATTTCTAGAAGAAATTACCAACATTACCTTTTTATAGCCTAATTACCAACAATACCAATTTATAGTAGAATTATCAACAATACCTATTTACAGGAGAATTATCAACAATACCTATTCAAAGCAGAATTACCAACAATACCTATTTATAACAGAATTACCAACAATACCTATTTATAGCAGAATTAGCAACAATACCTATTTATAACGGAATTACCAACAATACCTATTTAAAGCAGAATTACCAACAATACTTATTTATAACAGAATTACCAAGAATACCTATTTATAGCAGAATTAGCAACAATACCTATTTATAACGGAATTACCAATAATACCTATTTATAGCAGAATTAGCAACAATATCTATATGTAACGGAATTACCAACAATACCTATTTATAGCAGAATTATCAATAATACCTATTTACAGAAGAATTACCAACAATACCTATTTATAACAGAATTATCAACAATACCTATTTACAGCAGAATTACCCACAGTACCTATTTACAGCAGAATTACCAACAATACCTATTTATTGCAGAATTATCAACAATACCTATTTACAGCAGAATTACCAACAATACCTATTTATAGCAGAATTATCAACAATACCTATTTATAACAGAATTAACAACAATACCTATTTATAGCAGAATTATCAACAATAAGTATTTATAACAGAATTACCAGCAATACCCATTTATCTTTAGTTGAAGTCATAAGAATATGTTCAAAATATTTAAATTTCGGCAGTATATAACCCATAGTGATGTTGATATGCCACTAAACAAAATCAACTAATACGGAAAAGAGCAATAACAGTTAATGCACTTGAGATACCTATTTTCATGAAATTGTTGAAGTTGTTTTAAAAGAACAATTTTATAAATTTCAAAGGAAAACAGCTCTGTCTGCTCTGTCAATGAATACCAAATGTTTCCTTATAAGGAAACGGCTAATATTACCACTCCCATTCCTATTGAATACTACTGTTTTCCTAATGTCCGTAGATACTACGGACATTAGGAAAACAGTAGTATTCAATAGGTTTATACTATTCTGTTTACTCGACACGATACGTGTCGGGTAAACAGAATAGTATTCTTTACAATTTTTTTAGACGATAAACTACATCCGGCAGCAAGGCTTCTGATCGAGAGATTCGAGATTTTGAGGAGACTGGCACCACCCCTTAATTGCTGTTGTTCCCGGGGGTGGTAGCACCTGCTAGGGTCTCAGCTATGGGCAAATAGTGAACCCCCAAAAAAAAACCTGTGAAAGTATAAAAATACATTTTTAGAGTAAAATTACCAACAATATATTTTTATAAAAAATTACCAATAATACATTTTATAGTAAAAATTACCGACAATACGTTTTTAAAATCAAATAACCAATAATACATTTTATCATCTACGAAGTATAGATTTTAAAAAATACGTTTACAGTAAATGTATAAAATAATGGACAAAATATATTTTCTTGAAGGCATAAGATTGCGTACAAAATATTTAAATTTCGACATTAAATAACCCAGTGAGGTGTTGATATGCCGCCAAACAAAATCAACCAAACAACCACTTTCGTTTTTGTAAGTCGATGTCTGAAGCTAAGATTTGACACGAGCCTTTCCTTCCACTATAATCAAGATTTACAGATCTCTACAACTATTACTCAGTATTATTATTGTTTATCGCACAAATGCATTTTTTTTTAACCCGACAGTAGCCATTTTGACTTGTTGACAGCCTGATGACAGGTTTAATGTTGTTCTACGGAGACTTTATCTTTAAAACATAATTAAAGAAAATGACGTGAACGCCTTTTTTATATAATTTTTAAGCTCTCAGAAATCTTAAAAATCTAGGAAAATATTCTCTGTAATCTAATGTTTTATTGAATTTTGGAAATGTTGGTTTTAAATTTACTATCGTTATTTTTACCAAGATTTTCTTGAAAAATAATTTTAAAATAATTTAATTCATTTGCGAATAAGTCCTGGAATTTTCATTAAACTCTGACAGTTATTTGATTTTTGCAAGAATTTTCAAAATAAAATTTTTACCGAAAAAAAAATGCTAAATTTCACTTACTAATTAAAGTATATTTAATCACATCTCCCTTAAGAGCTGTAGAGATCTGTCAATATGTTCATAATGGAGGGAAAGGCTCATGTCAAATCTTAGCTTCAGACGTTGACTTACAAAAAAGAAAATGGTTGATTTTGTTTGGCGGGATATCAACACCGCAATGGGTTATTTAATGCCAAAATTTAAATATTTTGTACGCAATCTTATGCCTTCAAGATCACGACAGAGAGATATGATTAAATATACTTTAATATTTAAAAATTATTCAGTATTATTATTGTTTATGTAATAGGCATTAGCACAAATAGCTATATTGTGGAAAAAGGAATTTTCCACAATATATGCATTTTTTAAAGTATTTATGGAATTTTTTTAACTTTTATAAAAAAAACGACACTCTTTTAATGTAATTATGGATAAGATTATACATTAATTACTAAATTTTTTTAATTAATATCTATTTGTGTTCAGTTATTGACATTAATAGCTATCTGCTGATGTGTTAAATTTTTGGAATAATGTAAAAATAAAAATTTAAATTTCATCTCTCTGATAGATGTCGCGATCTGTTAATACAAAACTATTAGCATTTTTTTTTTCACTTGAAAAATTGACTCAATTTATTCACAGGAATTTACTTTGTTTTCATATGAAAAAAGGGTCATGAAGAAAAAGCAGAAGTGTACAAACCATCGTCGTAGGCCGGTGGGACGAATCGAATAAGTGGGGTGTTGGAACTACCCCAAAATGGGTGCATTATATTGTTACATTTCCCGTCTAAACTTCGGTATTTTTCCTTTTTGCAAAGGCGAGGCGTAAGGTAAGGACAGAAATCAGGGTCCCAAGAAAATCTAAAAGAAAAATAAACAAAATATTCCATTACTGGCAGTTTATTTTTAACAGCAGTCGTGAGAATTACATCTGTTCATATTTACCTGTTTCAGTCCGTTTATCTATCTATCTATCTATCTATCTATCTAGGATTTGTTCATATCTATCTATCTATCTGTCTATCTATCTATCTAAGATTTGTTCATATCTATCTATCTATCTATCTATCTAGGATTTGTTCATATCTATCTATCTATCTATCTATCTATCTCGGATTTGTTCATTATCTATCTATCTATCAATCTATCTATGATATATTCATAACTATCTCAGATTTGTTCATTATCTATCTATCTATGATTTGTTCATATCTATCTATCTATCTATCTATCTATCTATCTATCTATCTGTCTATCTATTTATCTGTCTGTCTGTTTATCTGTCTGTCTGTCTGTCTATCTATCTATCTATCTATCTCAGTCTGTTCGTATTTATCTTTCTATGTCTCTATCTCAGACTGTTTATATCTCTCAATCTATCTCGGATTTTTTCATTATCTATATATCTATGTATCTATTTTAATCTCTTTATATCTATCTGTCTATCTATCACGGATTTATTCATATCTATCTATCTATCTATCTATCTATCTATCTCGGATTTTTTTCTTTATCTATCTCTCTATCTATCTGTTCGTATTTATCTATCTATATATCTGTGTATCTATCTTAGTTTATATTTATCTGTCTGTCTATCTCAGTTTGTTTATATCTATCTATCAAGGATTTGTTATCTATCTATCTATCTATCTATCTATCTATCTTGTCTGGTACTGATTAATTTCATTATACATCTTTTATTTATTTTCTTCTTCCTATTTTACACCCAAACACACAGGTCTCTCACATTCTTCCTCAGGCCACAAAGCAAATAAATAAATCAGTAATGATAGTAAGTGTATTAAAAAGTTGTGAGTAAGAAAATTCCTTGATACTAGTGAATAAAAGAGGAGGATAGTATAAAGGCATATTTGCCAAATCTCAAAAACGCCATGATGAGAAATGTGTTCTGATATTTCGAATGAAATGCGAACCTCTGAGTTTCACTTTCTCTCTTTATACTTAAAATCAAAACAAATTAAATAAATTAAAATTATATATTTAAATAAATAAATACAATTTGCTTGTACGAGAATACAATCAACAATTTTGAATCCACAACCCAAACAATTAGTTCTTTAAATCCAAGTTTTACTGTAACTATCTACCTGAGTATTTACCATTCCGCTACCACATTCTTATCAATGTTGAATTTTGTACAAATCTGTGCAAAAAGTGAATCAAAGAGATTACCCAGCTTCGAACGTATTTTCACGAAATCTCAACTTCTAATTGGTCAATAAATACACAAGCGTGCGTTGAAATCCACGCACGTACAAGTTTTTTTCCAGCGCGTGACCAAGTCAAGTTTTCCCGCACTTTTTCCAGGATCCTACCACGTGATTAATTATAAATATCAGTCACGATTTTGTTCTCTCTCTTTTTTTTTTCTTTCACTCGCCTACGAAAATGTAACCTTAAATGATTCGCGTCTTGACCATGTGCGGTCAGACACTTATGAAAATATATTCACGCATGCACGGACGTACGAAATTTTCTACACTACATTACAAAGATCCGAAACATTTCCAAACCAGCAGCAAGAACTTTTCTCTTTAAAATACTCTTCTAAAGCTAAAAGTATATTCAGGATTTCTCAGATTTATAATTCTTTCAATTCTATAACAGTGAACATTTTGAGTTCAACTTTTCTGAGCTCGGATAAAAATATTTCAATTTCATTAGTAAAAACTTTAATTCAGTCAAAGGGACATAACACCAACAAAAATAGTAACCTTTTCTTGTGTAAATCATTATACAAATATGAATATTGTTGTTCTTACAAAACCGTTTAGCGTTCCATCTTGTTTCATATATTGAGGTATTTTACGTTAAACATAAATCGAGAGGCCATATCAACTAACGAGCCACCACAAATACCACAAAAAAGAAAAAGTTCATTAGAAAGAAAGAAAGAAAGAAAGAAAAGAGAATTTAACTGTTACGTAATATCAGTCCTCCTATATGGCAGTGAATGCAGGACAATCTCCTCACACACGAAGAAGAGACTTGAAGAAACAGAAACAAAGAAAAGAGTACTGAACTGTTATGTAATATTAGTCCTCCTATATGGCAGTGAATGCGGGACAATCTCCTCACAGATGAAGAAGAGACTTGAAGAAACAGAAACAAAGAAAAGAGTACTGAACTGTTATGTAATATCAGTCCTCCTATATGGCAGTGAATGCTGGACAATTTCCTCACAGATGAAGAAGAGACTTGAAGAAACAGAAACAAAGAAAAGAGTACAGAACTGTTATGTAATATTAGTCCTTCTATATGGCAGTGAATGCGGGACAATCTCCTCACAGATGAAGAAGAGACTTGAAGAAACAGAAAGAAAGAAAAGAGTACTGAACTGTTATGTAATATTAGTCCTCTTATATGGCAGTGAATGCGGGAAAATCTCCTCACAGATGAAGAAGAGACTTGAAGAAACAGAAACAAAGAAAAGTGTACTGAACTGTTATGTAATATCAGTCCTCCTATATGGCAGTGAATGCTGGACAATTTCCTCACAGATGAAGAAGAGACTTGAAGAAACAGAAACAAAGAAAAGAGTACTGAGCTGTTATGTAATATCAGTCCTCCTATATGGCAGTGAATGCTGGACAATTTCCTCACAGATGAAGAAGAGACTTGAAGAAACAGAAACAAAGAAAAGAGTACTGAACTGTTATGTATTAGACCTCCTATATGGCAGTGAATTAGTCCTCCTATATGGCAGTGAATGCTGGACAATCTCCTCACAGATGAAGAAGAGACTTAAAGAAAGAGAAACAAAGAAAATAGTACTGAACTGTTATGTAATATTTGTCCTCCTATATGGCAGTGAATGCTGGACAATTTCCTCACAGATGAAGAAGAAGAAGAAACAGAAACAAAGAAAAGAGTACTGAACTGTTATGTAATATTAGTCCTCCTATATGGCAGTGAATGAAACAGATGAAGAAGAAAAGAAACAGAAACAAAGAAAAGAGTTGAACTGTTATGTAATATTAGTCCTCCTATATGGCAGTGAATGCTGGACAATCTCCTCACAGATGAAGAAGAGACTTGAAGAAACAGAAACAAAGAAAAAAGTGTACTGAACTGTTATGTAATATTAGTCCTCCTATATGGCAGTGAATGCGGGACAATCTCCTCACAGATGAAGAAGAGACTTGAAGAAACAGAAACAAAGAAAAAGAGTACTGAACTGTTATGTAATATTAGTCCTCCCTATATGGCAGTGAATGCTGGACAATTTCCTCACAGATGAAGAAGAAGACTTGAAGAAACAGAAACAAAGAAAAGAGTACTGAACTGTTATGTAATATCAGTCCTCCTATATGGCAGTGAATGCAGGACAATCTCCTCACAGATGAAGAAGAGACTTGAAGAAACAGAAACAAAGAAAAGTGTACTGAACTGTTATGTAATATCAGTCCTCCTATATGGCAGTGAATGCGGGACAATCTCCTCACAGATGAAGAAGAGACTTGAAGAAACAGAAACAAAGAAAAGAGTACTGAACTGTTATGTAATATCAGTCCTCCTATATGGCAGTGAATGCGGGACAATCTCCTCACAGATGAAGAAGAGACTTGAAGAAACAGAAACAAAGAAAAGATGAAGTACTGAACTGTTATGTAATATCAGTCCTCGTATATGGCAGTGAATGCTGGACAATTTCCTCACAGATGAAGAAGAGACTTGAAGAAACAGAAACAAAGAAAAGAGTACTGAACTGTTATGTAATATTAGTCCTCCTATATGGCAGTGAATGCGGGACAATCTCCTCACAGATGAAGAAGAGACTTGAAGAAACAGAAACAAAGAAAAGAGTACTGAAATCTTATGTAATATTAGTCCTCCTATATGGCAGTGAATGCTGGACAATTTCCTCACAGATGAAGAAGAGACTTGAAGAAACAGAAACAAAGAAAAGTGTACTGAACTGTTATGTAATATCAGTCCTCCTATATGGCAGTGAATGCTGGACAATTTCCTCACAGATGAAGAAGAGACTTGAAGAAACAGAAACAAAGAAAAGTGTACTGAACTGTTATGTAATATCAGTCCTCCTATATGGCAGTGAATGCTGGACAATTTCCTCACAGATGAAGAAGAGACTTGAAGAAACAGAAACAAAGAAAAGAGTACTGAACTGTTATGTAATATTAGTCCTCCTATATGGCAGTGAATGCGGGACAATCTCCTCACAGATGAAGAAGAGACTTGAAGAAACAGAAACAAAGAAAAGAGTACTGAACTGTTATGTAATATTAGTCCTCCTATATGGCAGTGAATGCTGGACAATCTCCTCACAGATGAAGAAGAGACTTGAAGAAACAGAAAAAGAAAAAAGTGTACTGAACTGTTATGTAATATCAGTCCTCCTATATGGCAGTGAATGCTGGACAATTTCCTCACAGATGAAGAAGAGACTTGAAGAAACAGAAACAAAGAAAAGAGTACTGAACTGTTATGTAATATTAGTCCTCCTATATGGCAGTGAATGCGGGACAATCTCCTCACAGATGAAGAAGAGACTTGAAGAAACAGAAACAAAGAAAAGAGTACTGAACTGTTATGTAATATTAGTCCTCCTATATGGCAGTGAATGGGACAATCTCCTCACAGATGAAGAAGAGACTTGAAGAAACAGAAACAAAGAAAAGTGTACTGAACTGTTATGTAATATTAGTCCTCCTATATGGCAGTGAATGCTGGACAATCTCCTCACAGATGAAGAAGAGACTTGAAGAAACAGAAACAAAAGAAAAGAGTACTGAACTGTTATGTAATATTAGTCCTCCTATATGGCAGTGAATGCAGGACAATCTCCTCACAGATGAAGAAGAGACTTGAAGAAACAGAAACAAAAGAAAAGAGTACTGAACTGTTATGTAATATTAGTCCTCCTATATGGCAGTGAATGCGGGACAATCTCCTCACAGATGAAGAAGAGACTTGAAGAAACAGAAACAAAAGAAAAAGTGTACTGAACTGTTATGTAATATCAGTCCTCCTATATGGCAGTGAATGCTGGACAATCTCCTCACAGATGAAGAAGAGACTTGAAGAAACAGAAACAAAGAAAAGAGTACTGAACTGTTATGTAATATTAGTCCTCCTATATGGCAGTGAATGCAGGACAATCTCCTCACAGATGAAGAAGAGACTTGAAGAAACAGAAACAAAGAAAAGCGTACTGAACTGTTATGTAATATTAGTCCTCCTATATGGCAGTGAATGCTGGACAATCTCCTCACAGATGAAGAAGAGACTTGAAGAAACAGAAACAAAGAAAAGAGTACTGAGCTGTTATGTAATATTAGTCCTCCTATATGGCAGTGAATGCTGGAAATCTCCTCAGAGATGAAGAAGAGACTTGAAGAAACAGAAACAAAGAAAAGTGTGTACTGAACTGTTATGTACTGAAATGCTGTTATGTAATATTAAGTCCTCCTATATGGCAGTGAATGCATGGGACAATCTCCTCACAGATGAAGAAGAGACTTGAAGAAACAGAAACAAAAACAAAAAAGAGTACTGAACTGTTATGTAATATTAGTCCTCCTATATGGCAGTGAATGCTGGACAATCTCCTCACAGATGAAGAAGAGACTTGAAGAAACAGAAACAAAGAAAAGAGTACTGAACTGTTATGTAATATTTGTCCTCCTATATGG